TGTGTCTCTTGGCTGAGAGAATCACTACGAAGCAAGAGTACTCTTCTTGAGCGATGCCGGAACGTCGCCTAACGTCAAGTCTCGGAACCGATCTCGGACAACACGAAATAAAAATGGCAGCGCAATGAAAAAAAAACAAGGGAGCAAATCCGGCATGTATCAAGCTTATGCTTTCTGAAGTGCACTGCACTTAGTGGACTGGCTTGTCGTCTATCAGTTGACCTGGTATGGTGTAGTCAAGCTCACAACAAAATGCTCAATGCATGCTTGAAACAGGAGTAGTAATGCTCAAAAGCAAGGTTAATAAACAAACGAGGCCTAAAGCGTTATAAATAACGACAGTAATGAACGATTGAAACACATTACATAAAATGGATAAAAATGCTTCGGCCCATGCAGATGACTCTTGCGTTGTGCAATAGAGGGGGCTACCATCTAGAAGAGTGCGGGATTGCTCCTCCCCCTCCTTGTCCTCTTCCTCCGAGAGACAGAAACAACGTTTATTTGCACACATTAACAAGACGGGGAAGGAGGCTTCTGTCTCTGCCCCTGATCATCCCCCTAGCTAACGGGCGTAATCCCCTGGGAGTCATTGATCTCGCCTTTACCGTAACCGAGTTCCTTGGTACTCGGTTACGGTCAAGGCGAGATCAATGACTCGCACTGTTCTTCGGCGTCGTGGCTGTGTAATAATGCATCGCAGAATTATACGTTCCTATTTGTATCATTGTAGGAAGACCTGCAGTGCTATTAAGGTGCGCACATCTGCTGTTGAATGCTTCTGGGTGCCCTTTGCTGTACAGGTGAGGGTTTAGAAACAACCCGGTTTGCAATTTTCGCCACATAATTTCCTTCCTTTAAAGGCTATAGTCTTTCTTGGGGACCTTCAAAGCAAAAATATTGATCTGTCTGTCTGTACATTTATCTGTTTGTCCGCCCTTAACGCTACCCTAAATGGCACCAAAGTGGCCATACGATACTCCAAACTACCCACCCCATCCGCAGCGCCCACCAATATTGCTCAAGATTCAGCGTTCATACTTGTGCAATTGTCAATTAAAAATCAATTATTGCGCATATCTAAGACACCAAAACAACGCGTCAATATTCTGTATGTGTGTCTCTTGCTAGAAAAGGCACACATAAGTAACTCTAAGGGCCGTAGCGTTCATCACATTGCTCTGACCATGCAATGCTTGCACGAAAAGGCAAGTGTTTCCAACGCTTTGCTAAGCCGACACTATAGTGGCACCTACTCGTCGCCTTGCGTTCTACACCTTATCACCTCCGAGACGGGCTCGCTGGGTGCGTGCGCTTCTTTTTCAAAAATAACTGCCAGATAGCGCTCATGTCTCATATGTGACGTGACTTGATGCGCTCGTTCGCCTCCACTGCACGCGTGAGGCACTCCAAGGCAGCCCCTCCAGAATACGATTCACAGATTTTCTTGCGCAAAACATTGAATAAACGTTTTGTTCACTCTCTTCAGACGCAACACTATCGTCTTTCGACGACATTTGCAGTGTAACAAGCAGATACAGGTCCAAGTTTTTGTTTAGCTGTTTAGCTGCCTCTGGATAACTCTTACGGTGTAATTTATAATGTGAGGTTATTTCAAGAAACGTTCATCCTTCAACAAACTGATCTCCGGCTCCTTTGTCACTCCATCCGAAGGGGACAAACAAATTGATGAAACTCGCTGAATGCGACACAAATCTCAACTGTCGTAACCATCAAAAAGTCGATAAAGCCCATACAAAATTAGCGCGCAAGTTTGACGACGAATTTGAAAATCTCCTTAAGACTACTCATGCTGGGAAAAGCCTACATGCCTATCTTAAACATGAACATCATCGCCAGTTTGATAAAAGGAGCAGGTGGCATTGATAAACAGGAATTGCTGAGTGCCCGCGTTGCACACTTTCTCGGGTTTTAAAGTAGTCGAGCTGCATTGGGGCTGTTCTCCTTAATTCAGACATGAATTGTTCGGATGTTAACAACTTATTTGAACGGAACTACCTACGAACAGCTTTATATCTCCTGGACAATGATTATGGCCAAACACCATTGTTCTAGAGCAGTCCACTTGCGATATACGCGCTAAATACACCCTTTCATCATTTAGTTGAGCATTACTGAAGATCCTCTCAAATTTATTTATTAATTTATTTTAAAAGTACCTTACAGGCCCCTAGAGGCATTGTGTAAGGGGGCAATACAAGAAAAGTTTAAATTGTGTGAAGTCTACAACAAAATGATCAAGATTACATGAGAACAACATAAAGATTTTACTGTGACATAAGCGGGAACGCAAAATGTAATATGATTGTATTATGTGCTATACAACAAAAAGAGGCAAAGAAAGAATACGCTTTGAATCATGACAGATCATTTACGCAATACGATTTGGCACTTTAAAAATGAACAATGTTGTTAAAGAATCGCTGAGATATTATGCAGCTATTACCAAAAGTATGTAACGTAACATTACTCACGAATTACAATAAAGGCTATAAAAAACAAAGAAATAGTTGTGGTCGTCAGCGACAGAGGTGGCCCGCTGTAACTGAGTGGGAAATTGGTGGACGAAACAAAATCTTACGACAAAAGCTAGATGTCAAAAATTACTCCCGGTTTTATACAAGATAAACTTATTTTAAGTCGGGCAAAATTACAGGGCCGCACTACAAATGGCCTGACTTTCAAGAATGTTAGATGTTTAAGAATGGGATCTCATGTATTTCTATGAGCGGTGTTGGAAGGCCACGTACTTTGTAGAGTGATACTGCAATTTGACCAAAACATACCGATGCTACAAATAACCTGGAGTCATTTTTGATAACAGTGGTTAATAATAAGATCCCCAACACTTTACGTGGCATCATTATCATTGTCTGTTAGTTTTAATTATTATTGTTTTACACACTTTGGGCAACACAATGGTTTTTGAAGTCTTTGGGGACAATAAGTGCCACCACAAGTCATTAAATTAGAACAGCTAACTTGCGATAGCTTTAGGGAATTGACTCCTTCTTTGTTGCTTGGTGTATTACCCAACCGTGTTTCGCATTTTTTTTTTGTCAGCTTTGCAGTTCTAGTTGTGCAGCTCTCCGGTTCACATATTTTTGCCGCTCGATTGCTTTTAGTTGAATGGTACATAAGGTGCTTTTGGCCAATATGCGTATTTTAGATTCAAAACCTTCAAAATATTTCTTTCGTACTGTGAGTTTTGATAAATTTAGCAAATTAAAAAAATTTGGAAAGTAATCAAAAATTTTTTATATCTCAATATTATTAGATATCTCTGAAGGACAGCCTATCTTCACATGGTGACTCAACTGACCCTATGAAAACGTTTGTTAGAAAATGATTGAATACTTCTGATGAATAACCTTCCGACTTATGCAACTATGCTTACCAAGTAAATTTCCGTGTGATAATTCATACACGGCGTTTCTGAATTAATTCAGAAACTCAACTACAGTTGATCTCTCACGAAATAAATTCTTACGATGTTTTCGAAAAGCACTTCGTGTATAGTTCTGTATTACTAACTGAAGTTTTTCCACGGTAACTCAACACCCACTTATTAGCCGATTATAGGAAGAACTGCGAGGGTGGTGGTTCCATTCAGCAAGTCAGGTTTTGTTTACACTCTGCAATATTTATTGCGGTGCATCGATCCCTATCATTATGCTCATGTTATTTATACCAGCAAGCACATTTGTCAATGCTTCATCGGTAAAACATCACCAGAGTGGAACCACCTTCCGGAAAACAATGTTTCTACTAGTGATAACTCGTTGTTCCGTCATGCGTAAAGCATCGTTAACTGTATTACCATTTTATATACCCATACATCATATGTGCCAGAGCTTTGTGGTAATTTTACTTACGCATTTCTCGCACAACATAAACTGACTTCATAATTTGTAATAGCTTCTCAGTTTTCTCGCTAATTGTAATATATTACTACTGAATCACGCTTAATTTATTTCGCGCAGCTTTTCAAAGTTACTTGTAACCCACTTCCCTCTGTAAAGGCTTCTTGGGTAATCAGGGTAAAATAAATAAAATACAACACTATTTCAGTTCTTTCCAGCCAATAAGTTTGATCTAAAGTCACTGATTTAGAGCAGCTAACTTGTGACACTTGCAAAAAATGTGGTCTTTCATCGTTACTTGGTGTAAGACCCAAGAGTCTCAATTGTTTTGTAGCACAAAATTTGTTTGAATTCGTTGCGGATGATAACTGGGCTCGGAGGTTGTTTTCTTGGAGCAGCTGACTTAGAATGCTTAGATAAAACGTGGTTTCTTACTAATATTTTTTTACATTGCACAACAGATTTTAGAAATTTGGTTGATATACTACTATTTCGATTCCTTGCGAATGACAAGTACGGTTGAAGGATTTTCGCTTCGGGCAGCTAACTTGCGACTGCTGCGAGAAATATGCTGTGTGATCATTTTCTGATGTAAACAACGAGAAGCCTTTCAAGCTTTTGTCTAGACGTTGTGGTTGCAATTCCTTCCAGCCAATAAGCGCAGGAGGCAGTTTTCGCTTCAGAGCAGCTAGTTTGTGATGAATGCCTGAAGAAAACTGTTATCTTTTTTTTGCCATATTGGCTGAATACATCTCAAATATTTGATAATACAACAGCGTTTCCATTTTTACTTGGTTTATTCAGAGCAGCTGACGCGCTTACTGCGGAAGATATGCTCTTCAACAGTTTCTGGTGTATTTCACAGCTTTGCGGCCATCGAGCAATAAGCCGTTTTATCAATCTTTACTAGCACCGCTGCCGTATTGCGGTGTCAATGCGGCACGTCACTACATTGTGTGGAGATAACGCACAGCGTCAGATATCAGTTTTTCTGTCCACTATTAACACTCTCTCCGTGAGCTCTTTTACTCTCTCTCTCTTCCTCCAAATGCACACACAAGCACATAAATGCGCACTTCCGTTCATAACAAGCTTACTGACACAAGAACCCTCAAATACAAAAAAATATTCTACTAGATTTCAAACGTATAGAGTAACATGAATGGTCTGGTATTCTGTGGATTACTCCTACGTAACGGCCTACGATAGCGTGCCGGTGACGTAGCGCGTCTTTCATAAACAGCGCCCTCATAAAAGAATCATCGTGCCCGTGAACGTTAGTTCTCTGCTGAGGATCATCTGAGCTTTGCGTGCATCACAGCTTCACAAGCGATGGGTGAGTGGCTTAACATCAAAACCGTGAGTTTGGGTAATGAGTTATTCAATTTTGAGTGCCTAAACCATGGTATACTTACGAGAAAATGGCCGATTAAGAGACTCTGGATTGATCTTGAACACCTGGGTTTATGAACGACCACATTAATGGAAAGATATGAGTGTTCTTGCCTTTACTACCACAAAGAAAATTAATTGACACGGCTGGGAATCAAACCCCTGTCCTCCCGATAAGAAACGCAAAGCAGCTGTATGATGGTTTGGTTTGCCTTATGTTATTATTGTTTTGCGTTGTCTAAAAGATAGCTACGATGAAAGAACTGAAGACGTCATTTTTCACAACTAAATTTCTCGTGTGGAGTGGAGGTGTCTGCAGATGTCATAGTTTTATATTTTGCACATTCGATTGCCTGTATCAGGGCTTGCAATATTTAAAACTGCCTCTGTAATACTAAAAAAAGCTAAATATTATAAAGTTTACGCTTGCAGTTAGCTCTATTTGATATCCAAGTATAGAGGAATAAGTGGAATACGCTTGCCGGAGAAGTTGCATGGTTCGTAAATGCTCCAAGGATGATTACTTATTAGCTACGTCTTTAGCTATCCTCTAAATATATACGCAGTTAGACCTCTCTATTATGTAGTGAGTAAGATGGGAAATTTAAACAGTTTTGTATCGAATATCCCTTAATACAAAGTCGATCATTTAAGCAAACTATGGTCTCCAAAGACTTCATTTTTTTGCGTTGTATGCTGTAGAGACGTTCAAATGACATGAGTACAAAAACTGATTTCAGTATCACTGGAAAAACCTCCTTGAATGAATTTTCTGCCTGACCTCCAGCAACCACACATCGATGTTTCGCTAACAATAATGACGTCACAAATTTAGACTATTTATCACGCCACATTAAAGTTACCTCTCGTAATTTACGACGTCGTGTAGGTAAGTACGACAATTGCTGACTTCAAGCGCTATTTCCATCCAAGCCTCGCCATTCATCTCCAGGCCTCGCCAAATCTCACAGTTCCACAGTAGGCCTCGCGACGTACCGCCAAGTCTCTCCAAATCTCGCAAAGCACAGCGTACTCTCTCTCTCTCTCTTGTATGAGCGTCGGTATAACGAATATTGCAGAATAACGAACTAGCAGAATATATTGGCTGGTTTTCACATCAACTATATTCAAAAAAGCTTTCAGGTAAACTTTTGAATAGTGAAAAATTTAGATGAGCAAATTCGGTCGGTGGGCCTGGGCCCATTTTTTAGATTGATTGAACAAGGTTGCGCGTAATTCAGCACTACTGCAGGCAAGTTCAAATGGTGAATCTCTGGCAGAGGCTGTTAAAAATGTTGAAAATTGCGAAACTTTATGCAACAGCCAGTGAAGAAGAACGTAGAAACATTGGACAGCTTTACCTCTCGTGTTGTAAGCGAGCCAGTTCAAATTAGACTTGCCGGAATATTTTCAAAATCTATGGCGTTTCATTCTTCTGAATGGGTATTCACTGTACCCAATGCTGTTCAATATTCCAGCGAGTATTCGAAGGCACGCCGAATTCATCGACAAATTAAAACTCCATCTTCACGTTTGAGCAACCCCCTATAACTGCCTCAGATTTTTTTAAAGTTTATTCAGACAGTCATGGTCTGGGATGAAGGGGCTAAAGGCAGATGCAACTGCCTGACAAAGGCCCCCCTACCCATACATTGCTCAGGGGTGGAAAGCCGCGGTACATGCGCAAATACAGGTAACAAGAAAAGGCAAAAAAACAAAACAAAAAAGAACAGGCGCACAGGCGATCAAAACACAATAACGATGTGCAACTCGAGCGCATCGTTATTTTTCTGGCTCACTGTATAGCCCTATCACTTGACCACTGTGCGGGAAAAAATTGTTCAGCCTCGTTGTTCTTGTGTTTAGAAAAAGTGGTTAACGATTTAGAGTACTAGGTACTCTACGATTGAAGCCATCGCATCAACGACGGTCTAGTACGTCAACGATTGCCTCTCAACAATCGGTGTAGGGCGGAAGCTTGTTCTTGTTGTCCTTTTAGTGCAGTTTGTACTTATAATTACATTTCTGTGTGTCTTTTTCTAATTACATTTCAATGTTATTTTCTATCTTTTTTGCACATTGATATTCAGTTTTTCAAATCTTTTGTTACGTTAGTGCTTGTGTTGATTTTATGTATGTATACTATTACCCCCTCATCCTATGTTGTGCCCTGAGGCCTTTAGGTTACATTAATTAATTAATTAATTAATTAAATAGATAAATAAATAAATAAATAAACAAGTGATTTGGTTGCGTCTCTTAAACCTCGCTCTGGTGAGAGTTCACTGTATAATGTTATAATTCTATATGTCTCATCTCTTCTCTTTTTTTTCGTGGTGTCTCTTGCAGGACGGTGGAGCATTTCTCTGCTTATTGCTGCTTCGGCGTGCGCGGGTATTGCGCTAGCAAATTGTCCGGACGCGGCCAGCTTGACTCCGTGTACGTGCGACCACGAGGGCATGAACTGCATGCGCGCCAACAATACGGCTCAGCTTGAAGAAGTCTTCAGGAGCGGAAGCGAGGCCACTAGAGAGCACAACCAGCTGTGGATACAAAGAACCCCCATAACGTCGTTCCCGGCAGGCGTGCTGGGCGAGTTCAAGTTCGAGGAAGTTCACGTCGAGCGCAACGCCAATTTGACCTCGTTCACGATGGATTCTCTGGTGCACTTCAGGGAGCTCCTCAACGTCCTCAGTCTGTACGGAAACGCACTTCGGACGTTCGAGTTTGGCAAGTAAGCACTTGAAGCTTCTTTTTCACATAGTTGGTCTTATTTGAAAAAAAAAAAAACAGTGACGGTGCTTCGAGAGCTTTTGTTCTGACTTCATGGTGAGAAAAAGTATAAAACATCCACGAAGCTCCACAAAGTGAATCATGAAGAGCGCGTGAAGCTAAGCCCTAATGTGCATAAAGATACGCTGAAGTCACCGACCACGTGAAGGATTTAAGTCTGTTGGTGTTTTACACGGTTCCGCCAAAATTATGATTGATATTACTGTTGTTAAACCGTCCTTCTGTGTCCAAAATATTTCGACGGTAGCCCTGTGCACGAACGCCAAACGAATGGACAAGCGTCGCGTTTAAGAAGTTTCACCGCTAAAATGAAAACACGCAGTACAGAAGACACTAGAGGCGTAGGGTTTTGCAGTTGGGGAATAACGGCCAAACTTCACCACAGATTCGTCCCTCCCCCCTCTCTCACCACAACTGAATGACCAAAGGAAAGGCATAGTCCAATAATTGCAACAATAAAAATGAGGCATTTAGTTACTGCTCACCCTTCAGCCATCGGCCTCAGAGTGTAAAGGCGGGACGTTGACCATTCAGGGAATCTAACAGCAGTTGTCTTCGGCAGATAATATAGCCAGACAACCTGCAGGACCATGACATTAGGCTAGGGAACGGAAGGTCTGAGAGAATATATGACATTGACTCTGGTACTTCGTTAGACGACCTTAGATTTCCTCCTCCCCCCTCCCCCCGCGCCCCCCGCTTTTCATGCCGTTGGGCGCCTGGGCGCTCGCCTATGAACTCACAACAGCAGTACCGTCTGACAAGTAGTTGATTGTGAAAAGATCAGAACGTAAAAAAGAGTACGTGAAACAACTTCTAGTTGTTTGTACAGTGTTTTTAAGAGGAAGTTCTCTCTGATTAACCCTGTTGAAGTTGTTCTGGCGATGTCCTGTTTACTTTGAGTCCGACAAACTGTACTTCCAGTCACCGCCAACAACGTCCTCAAGCTAAGCAGCACCGGGTTTATCGTATTGTATTGGCGGATGTATCCATACACTTGTCGTAGAAAGAAAGAAAGAGAGAAATATTTTAATGAATAGCTGGATATATTTGTTTTGCTTTTCGCCTAACATGCTACACCCGCGCTGGGTGATGGTAATGATATACATATTATTAACACATAACGCAATCAGCCCCACACATAAACTACACTATTTACCGGTTTCATTGCTGCTAGTGACTTGTGTGCACTTCTCGTCTCTCCGTACCGTTTTGGTAAACGTTGTCGCTGGGCACTAATGCAGGTTGAGGCGTTTCCCGTACCTTCAAGTTATCAACTTGGGCGCCAACCAGCTCACCAGAATCCCCGACAACGCTTTCCGTAACAAGTATCTGGAGAGGCTGGGACTGAACGATAACCCCATAACGTTCATCGGGCAAAGGGCCTTCCACCATCTCTCCAGTCTGAAGCATCTCGACCTCAGTGGCACAAGGGTGACCACTCTGGGCCCATACTCGTTGTCTGTACTACGAGCACACCCGGAGTTTGCGGTAAGAAATCCGCAAGAAACACTGTGCGATGACCTAGGTACATAAGAGTGAGCATGTTGAGGCTTTTCTGGTCGGCTTTGCTCTTTTGTACAAATGTAGTGACCTCCCGAAGAGGTTGGTCAACACAATCGAGTAGCGATTGAACTAGCATCGGCAAAACGAACGTGTGCCAACTAACTAAGATAATCGTAGGACTGACTTTCAGCATGTTACATGTTCCATAACATTTTGCCTCTTAGGTATAGCGACTTCCTTCATAATGACTGTATATCTAACTACGAGAGATAGAGAGGGAGAGAAAAGCAAAGGAAAGACAGGGAAATTAAACAGGTCGCACACGGTGTGTTATCATAATCACGGAAGGGGAAAGTGGGAAAAGTTGAGAAAGAATGTACCAACACAAAATGAATGCTTCAGACGTACTACCCAAAACATCCGAGCGATGAAACCTAAGTTAAGATTTGCAGCATTGGAAAGCACCTAACACGTGCTCTTTTCACAAAAAATTCCAAAAGACCAATCACATCTGATCACTTACTATTTGGATAGCACGGTTCTAGTATTGCTCAACTAACAACGGCTTTCACAGATTGATCTCGACAACTCTGGCATCGGGTCGATCCACCGCAACGCCTTCGACTATGCCGCACCACTTGTGCTAAGTCTGCGCAACAACCGTCTTGCTACTCTGGAAGAGAACCCATTCAGGCCTCTCATCGAGCGCATGTATCAGAACGCCCAACGAACGGGCACCCTACCTGTCATCAACGTCAAAGGTAACACAAATCATACATCTTTAGTTTGTCATATAACGAAAAAAATTAAGGAACTCTAAAGCTGCACCTTTATGAGTTAAATGCGATAGCGGCACTTTCTTGTTAGTGCGTACTCCAAACACTTGGTGCGTGAAACCTTTTCGAACGTGGTATGCGTCCACTACGCGGTCTTAAGAAAACGGGCAAAGCAGCGTGTGTGCCTTTTGTAGTGAGCGACCGACTTTAAACCACAAAGCCAATATGATAACCACATGTTCTGACGCCCACTGGCAATGGGCGCTTCCACCAAGCATTATTACTGCAATATTTCATGTCGCATTGCGAAGCATGCATACAGGACGCCTGTGTTTATAAAGCATGAAAGTTCCCTGCACTGCATTCACAAGCAGAGAAATTTCTTTTCACGGAATTCACACGCACATGCTTGGTCGTGTGGTAGGACATCCGCTTGCCACGCAGACGACCCGGATTCGATCCCCACTATAATCCAAACGGCTCTGCTTCGATCCCCAATCTCACCAAGGATTTTTTTAATCATTATTAAATTTGCAGCGTTCTCGACTTAACAATCAAGCACACGGCGATTTTTCGCTCAAAACCAGCGACACCGACGTCACAATTTCCGCGAAATAAGCTGTTTAACACTGTCGTGTTAAAAAATTATTTCCGACTTGTTTCAGTCTGCGGGTACAGCGAACGCCGTGCACAGGTAAAAGTTCGAAAAATTGTCTTAGATCGGCTTCAGCTATTCGAAAATCCAATGACTCTGGGTAATGCTTGAAACTTTAGTTGAACGGCTATGGGTCATTTGAAATTGTTTTCAGTTTGAGTACCTTGCTGATGTTCAAGTTAGTTTTATATCCTACAGTGCAGAAATAGGCAGGCTTATGAAGCGCGTTGACCATAAGCTGAAGATAAGCGCAAAGAACTAGACAGCGGAATCTGTCAAGGAACACCTGAGTGTTAAGGGCATCTTAGCTGAAATAAAGGAGAATAATGAATTTAGAAGAGAAATGTAGCATGAAGATAAAATAACCGCTCTTCTGTAAGCGATTAACAGCCTGGACAAGAGACAGGAGGGGTAAGCTGGATGTTAAAGGAGAAGACGATAATTAAACGTTTGTGGAGAAAGTGCCGCAGTTAGCACAGGACTGGGTAAGTGTGTAAATAACAGGAGAGGCCTCCTCCCTCCAGTGGACGTAGCCAAACTGATGCTAACAATTATTGCCTTGGAATTTCTCGCAGGCATGGTGAGAAGCGAAGACAAGTCATTACAAGTAGCTTTGTATCAGAGGTATTATTGTATCATAATGCATTACTTGTAATATGTTCACTTCTGAAAAATTTCATACATTTGAAGTTTTAAAATTATGAAACCAGGATGGCCTCTAAAATACAAGTGCATGTTCAGGTTACATTCACGATGTTATATTTATTTCCTCCGTTCTGGACAAGTACCACATATATGTGGCCCTGCACATACCTAACCATTTTGTTTCTGAAAATTGCAGGAAATCCGCTGACATGCCGCGGCTGCTCATACAAGTGGCTGGTTCATTACAAATCATTTGCCCAAGTACGGGCCATCCTCTACGACCTCCAGTGCCCGGACGGTTCCGGCCTGTCAAGCCTTAGCGACCAAAAAATTGATTGCCGTACTTCCTGGAGCTTTGCGAACATCGGCTGACGTATTTAAAACGCATAAAACGCGCATAAAAAGTCACACAGTAAATAAACATCGTCACCACCAATGTCTATGCTCGCCTGACACTGTCCTCAGTTATTTGCTCAACACCAGAGGTTCACAAGAGGTTCTGATCGAATGGCTATCAGTTTAACATTTCTTGCCTTGATTAGCAGCCAGACACATCAGCTATAGGCCTAACATTTATCGAGACATTGCAAGGAAACACGGACTGATTTCTTTGTACTATTATGTTCCGAATGTTTTGTATGTTATCTGTTTCTGTTAGCAAAAAAAATTAGTTATTCCAAAAACCGGTGTCCAGGTATGTCGTAAAATGCGCTCTGATAAATTTAGATTGAGTCACAATAGATAACATATAGAATGTGCTGACCATGATAAAGTTTTAAGGTTGGTCCTGAAGGAAGGTATAGAGCTCCACAACTCTGGAGTGATAAAATATTAGGTTATCTCGCGTGGAATTTTGTGCAGATATCTGAGACATCTTCCTGAAGGCCCGCTTGCTGTTTCCGCATGCAAAATGCTCGACAACACGATTATTTGCTCCTATCTAGAAGAAACATTACGTGCATGCATAAAAGGTAAACTCAAAGATTTATAACTGAAGTTCAATAAAAAATACATGGCCATACATTAGAGGTTCTGTCTGAACACTTACGAAGTCAGCGGAATTAGATTACAGCAAACTAGTTCTTGATACATCTGTGACATGACGTCAGCACATATAAACCGACGTCTTTATCGGCTAAGAAATAACAAGATTTTTCTTACCGTCCAGGACATAGGCGCTGGTACAATAACATGTTAGGATAGTCAGCGGAACACAAAATAATATACAATCGGACATTCGGATACTACGTCCGCCCCGGAGCTAACCGGCATGCCATGTACGTGGGAAAATACCCCCACACATCTTGTTACTGCGAATGCCTCCAGATCAATCACTTTTACACACCTTATAGCGACAGCTCTACCCCTTCTGGCTCAAACTCGAAAAACGTATCATTTGTGAAAGTGACCTTCAAGCTCAACCAACGGCAGCGTCTCTCAACCTCCTTGGCGTGTCTGACCGGCGCTGTCCCCGTAGAAAAATTTTCACCTACTGCCCTTGGAATGGGGAAAAGTATGCGGCAACAATTTACCGCCGAGGTTTATCCATCGCATCAGAGCATTGATAACAGGCTTCGTGCAACAAGCTTTCCATGTCGTCGCCACGCCGTCCAAAGAGCTTAAGTAAAACCCACGCGTCTGCACGAAGTGAATGATGACGAGGGGCGAAAGGTCTAAGATATGTACGTTGATTCCACCAACTAGTATGAAGGACGTACGTACGGACGGATGGACAGACGAATGGCTGATAGACAGACGAATGGCTGATGGACAGACGAATGGCTGATGGACAGACGAACGGCACACGTGCTCTTTTCTCAGCATATAGCACGTGTTGTGATGCCAGTGTGGACGCCTGGAGATAGGCGCCCCAGACTAGCTCTAAGTAACTTCGCTCCTAAAGTGAAAACACTAGCGTGGACCGTTTGCTAAAACGAACCATGGCTAAAGGTCACCCATTCATGCCACCGAGCCAGAGTCACTTACTGCGTTGAGGTTTACTACACATTAGCACCAAGCAGCGTCTATGCGTTGCTTATGCTGTGATTGTAAATGTGTTAGTGGCTGCTACAAAAATAACTGCAGATCAATGAAGTAAATGCACATGATGGAGCCAATTGTGCTTGGTCATAAGGTCCATAATGTCTTGGTCACAAGGTCCATAAGGTCCATAATGTCTTGGATTTGCCAACTAGTATAAAGAACAGACGGATGGACAGGTGGACGGACGGATGGATGAACAGAGTGCGGTCTACTTCAATATATGCCCGCTATGAGTGATGCGTTTACGGCACATGTAGCACCTGTGCTTCGGTCCGGCGAGAAGCTACGACAACAGCGTCAACACACAACATGAGAGCTTTAGGAGCTTCACTCCTAAAATTGGCTGCGTGGAATCCGCTTTGCCAGAACCAGTGATAGAGACAGACGGTGGATTGGGGTCGCTGAGCGGCGAAGGTAACAAGCTATAAATTGGCAAACTTCCTTTAATTCAGTTCAACTACGGCAGTTAGTATTTTGTAATGTGAGCTTGTACTGACGGACCTGTTAAGCTGGTTTCGCGGCGTTTCAAAAACCCTCCACCGGCGCTCACTGAATAGATAGGAAATCTGAATGAATTTTCATTTAGGGGTGCGGATTTGAGTCCTGGCTCTCCCAGTCCAAATGCGATATGCGATTGCCAAAAGCGATCGCTTGTTCACTGCAATCTGAACTGAACATTCTAATGCATTAAATGGATGTCAGATGATGTAAACAAAACCCCAGCACAAAGGAGAACACTTAGTACGAGCTCTTAATTGAAGCAATTCTTGATTGCGCAAAAAGAATGATCTCCTACCCACCGTGGTGGTACAGCAGTTATGGTGCCTGGCAGCTGACACGTATAGAACGGGATCTGATTGCGGCTGCGGCCGCCGCACTTTAAGGGGGTGCGAAAATGTTAAAGGCCCATGCTTATATTTACGTGCACGCTACAGAACCCCAGGTGACTGAAACTTCCGTTTCCCCCGATAATGTCGACTCTCATAATCGCACCGTGGTTGCACGGTGTTAAACGACCCCAATGATTCATAATAAAGAGCAGTCTGCTGAACCACGTGTTCAGCAGACTGCTCTCTCTCTCTCTCTCTCTCTCTCTATATATATATATATATATATATATATATATATAGAGCTTGTTCAGCAGATTGCTATATATATATATATATATATATATATATATATATGGGATAACAGTGTCCCGGGGGTTGGCCAAAACTAAACGCTTGCATCAGGAAAGATCACACAACGGGGAATGTAATAACTCTTACGAAAGAGACAATGAGTACTGAAAGAGAGAAAAATAGGTAGAAGAAAGAGATAGAAATAAAAGTAGAAAAAGAAAGGAAGATGGAGGGAACAAGATAGGTAGAAAGTTATAATAATAATAATAATAATAATAATAATAATAATAATAATAATAATAATAATAATAATAATAATAATAATAATAATAATAATAATTACGGCTTCTACAGTTAACAATGTGTACCAAAAATAGTAGTACTACTAAAATTAAAACCTGTAATGTTTATATTATCTCAGGTTTTGCCCTCAAAACCACGATACGATTATCAGACACACCGTAGTGGAGGCCTGTGGAAATTTCGATCATCCGACCTTCCTTAAGGTGCGCTGACATCGCACAGTGAGCGGGAGGGCCTCTACCAGTTCGCCTCCAGCTAAATGCGACAGCGGCAGCTGAGATTGAACCTTCGGGTCAGCAGCCAAGCACTGCAGCCACTAATCCAATGGTGCGGGCCAGGTGGTCTGGCTTACATGATCACAGGCCGACGAAGAATCTTACGACGCCTTAAAGGGCACTGAACGAAAAACCCGGCCTGTATCGAGGTGCTGTCTACTTTTCACAAGCATTCTGAAATAACTTTCTTTAACCGAGCTCCCTGGACATAGCTGTATATTTACCGGACGGCTCGTGCGATCAACCTGCGCAGCCGACTTGCGATCGCTGTGGACGATGGCCTGTATGCCCATCCTTCGCGTGTTGCACAACATCCCCAAGAGATTTAATGGCCTTTGTGCCATTCCTGCTATCGCATGGCAGCGCTATGCGCGTGACGGAGGACAATGCGAGACGATGACGCATCTCGCCAGATAACACTGCCGTTATCCGCCATTCACACATAACTCCCCTTGAACGTGCCCTGTTCCCGTTTATTCACACCATTTCTACCTTGCTAACGCGGACAGCTGCCCGTGCGCGCACGATTACGTTCAAAACAAATAGTACCTGCTTTACAACGCACAAAAAACACAAAAGCCTCGCATGAAAACATGCAATAGGCTGACATCCGTTGACAATCGGCGGTTATCTCTCGCTTTTAAGGGATGACGATTGTCCGCTCGTGACGTAGCACGTCGTCGGTCATCGGCAACGTCTATATAAAGGAAGCTTTCTGACCGGTGACCGTTAGATTACTACTGTAGAGTTGGTCCCGAAGTTGGACGCATCGAGAGATCACAAGAAATGGGTGAGTTGTCTTCATCGCACGCGCAAATTTGTGTAACAGCCTAATGAAATCCACGTAATCACCAAAACGTTTGTAGTATTACGTTTGAAGACAACGTCATTATTATGAATGATGATATAGTAAAGGGCTCCAGAAATTTTTTTGAGATGAAGGTTTTAACGTGCACGAAAGTCCTAGTATAGGTCTTTAGCAATATACGTAGTTCGATGTGCAGCCGCCAAGGTTCAACCGGGACCTTCGAGTCATTAGTTGAGCACCATTACTACCAGAGCCCTAGGGGATATTAATGATGAAACCAGCATACAGTGGAGAGAAGCAAGGCGTATATGGTGATATTTGTAGTATTTAAACTAGTGTCACCCTCATTATGACGTAAATAGAATAGAGTTCAAGTGTACGAAACAACAGTTTTGAGCCGGCAGCAACCGAACCTTATAACCTTCAGATAACGCGTCCGATGCTCGACCAACACACCGCAGTGGTCTAACGGGGCTTGAATGTGGACCGAAAGGTCACGGGATCGAATCCTGTTGTCATAGCGGAATTTTCGATGTGCGCACATTTACATGCGCGTGAAAGAGTCCCATGTGGTGGACATTCATGGAGCTTTCCGCAACGACAGCGATAGAGAAAACTTTTTAAGTTATTGTCAAGTGTACATGGGTATGAGCCATTCACTGTGGCGGAAACTCTCTTGGAAGTGGAGAAAGAAGAAAACGTCGCTTCACGGTCTGGTTCTGGGAAGATGTCAACTCTTCGCTGTCTCTGTTATTTCGCTCGTGGCAATACAGAAGCTAAGAGGTTGGCCTAAATTATATTTCAGAGCTTCTACTTAGCGTTGGTGAAAGGGAGAGAGTAGAAAAGAGAACTGAGGAGGTGTTGGTGGTCAGGATGAAGAAGGCATGAAGCGAAACTTTGAACGTCCAAAAGCTTGGTACTGCTTCACTACGACCATGGTCCTTCAATACTTTTTTCTGGTCATGAAACTCCCGCGAAAGTTTCATATAGGGACACAAGTGGCCACCAGAGGCGCCACCGTAAACAGGAGGGCATCGATCGGCCGCGCTTGGCAGGGCTGTAGCGCGTTCGCGGAAGCGTTTCCCATCAAATACACTTCTTCAGATATTTTCCTTCTCCGTGTTATCGCTAACAAATCATAGCAGCTATTAGTATTGTCAAAGTGGTCCATGATGCGCGTTGTCAAATTGCCTAAGTCTTTGACTGCTGGCAATGTTTTAACTGAGTTCGTCTGTCAAGTGACGCGCATTCGTAGCGTTCCTAAATTTCTCGATTCCTGCATAGCCGCTTTTGGGGCTTAAACCGAACACTGTGACTGGTTCTAGATGACTGAAAGGTTAACATATTTTGCGCTAGAGATTGCGGAGCAGCCGTGCTCTGGCTGCACGTAACGTTCATTTTCGGAATAACTATCACTTTATTCCATATGGCATCACGAAGCAGCCAATAGAAGTTCGCGTGCCAATAAACAAATCTGTGTATCAGGGTGACTTGACATTAATAGCCTTGAAGTACCTCTTGAGGGATATCGTTAGTGAAACATAGCTGAAAAATTAAAAGCTCAGAATGAGACACCACAAGACAGAGAGGGATGCTCAAGTTGTGCTCTTTTCTTTTTTTTCTTTGATGTCATAATTAGCGCCCCTGATTTTAAAGATTAAAAAATGAGATGAAACTGTTGTGAGCTGCTAGATATAGGCACTACGTGCTATTTCGAAGCGAGAGCTTTTGTTTTTACGCATGCAGATTTGATAACGCAGCCGAGTTTTGATATACGCGGCTTTTTTTTTATCCATTCCCATGTACTCTCCCAATGACCACGACTTCTAAGTCCGCGTTCTAATTAGCCACCCTGTTCCTTCTACGCGCACATAGAAATCAACCAGGATCTTCCTTCAACCCAGTTATTCAGTTTAAAGAAAGATTTATTAGGATATCAAAGCTATATATGAGGTCTGCCTCAATCAAATTTCTGAGCTTCTACTTGGCGTTGGTGAAAGGCAAGGAGTAGATAAGAGAACTGAGGAGGCGTTGGGGGTCAGGATGAAAAAGGCATGAAGCGAAACCTTGAACGCCCAAAAGCTTACGACTGCTTCACTACAACTTTCTTGAAACATAAGGCCGTTTTGAGGTGCAAAACTCCAACAGCTGTTAGTATTATCAGATGCTTTACTAATTTAGCTATGATGGTGGTCGTTTTGCCATCAGCTTTTTTGGGAGTCTCTGTGCACGAAGTTTCTTGGATTGTTGCCACTCGTTACTATGTAAGCAAGTGTGAAACACTCTTCGTTGCTGCCCCACCATGGTGGTGTAGTGGCTAAGGCACTTGGCTGCTGACCCGCAGGTCGCGTGATTGAATGCAGGTTGCAGCAGCTGCATTTTAGATTGAGGTGAAAATGCTCTAGGCCCGTGTGCTCAGATTCGGGTGCAAGTGAAAGAATTCCAGGTGGTCGAAATTTCTTGAGCCCTCCACTACGGCAACGTTTATACACATATGGTAGTTTTTCGACATTAAACTCCACATACAATCAATCAATCACTCTTGTTTGTCAGCTACTGCTGCGAAATTATGCTCCATTGATTGATTGATATGTGGGGTTTAACGTCCCAAAACCACCATATGATTACGAAAGACGCCGTAGTGGAGGGCTCCGGAAATTTCGACCACCTAGAGTTCTTTAACTTGCACCGAAATCTGAGCACGCGGGCCTACAACATTTCCGCCTCCATCAGAAATGCAGCCGCCGCAGCCGAGATTCGATACCGCGACCTGCGGGTCAGCAGCCGAGTACCTCAGCAACTACAACACCGCGGCGGGGAAAGTTATGTCCCAAATACAGCGTTACAGTTAAGGAGCACAAATACTGTCCCAGTATATCTTTCTCGCCATCATTCTTGCTTTGTTTGATTAGGTTGTGCCTAACAAAGAAACCAGGCCTTAATCTATCCCCTTCAAATATTTGTAATTATGAGGGTTTGGGTGCAAAAAACCAGGATAGAATTCTCAGACACGCTGTACTCGGGCACTCCAGATTGATTTTTGTCACGTGGGCTTCTACAGAGACTACCTAAATGAAAGTTGACAAGTTCTGTTGCATGAAGCTCACATTGAAAACCTCCACTGCAGCGCAAATTCAAACCCACTTCCTTTGAATTAACAGCTTTGCATAACTTAATGCTAGCCAGGTAGCCTGCTGGCATCTCCGAATTATTGTTGTTAGCATTTTTCTAGAAAGAGGTGCCATAAATAACGTGTCAGACGACATTTCCTAATTCATTTCCTTTAGGTGGTTGAGGAGTCCATGTATGGTGACACTAAATTTTTCGTGTAGATTTTTCAGATATCTTATGGTGCTTTTCTTTATTAATTGAAGCCAGTTTTACGAACATCGAAGCAGTGCAGTTCAAATTTTGAATACAGTGGACAAACTGATGTTATGGAGAAAACCTGTGCAAGAAGTCACATTGTTAGAAATCACATGCAGATGAATTGGGACGCCCACATGCATAGATTTAGGTGCAATTCGAAAAGCCCCAGGTAGTGAATTTTTTGAGTCCTCCACTATGGCGTCTTCATATTTATATCTTGGTTGAAATTTATTATAATTTAATATTGGTTATTATTGTTATTATTATTATTGTTATCATTATTATTATTATTCTCAACGGAAACACCTAGAATCGATCTGCTTTGAAATCAGCCTGGAACGCCGAGAAAAATTGTTGATTTGATGTTTCTATATACCACCCAGCATTTACTCTGCCCTATTTTGTGATGTCACGTCTTCGATTGAACATAGGATTTCATCTCATAGTGGGTTCATAATTACTGATCTTGGTTACTTCAATATGCCTAGAATTTAGGTTAGCCAGTCTAAGAACTGGCTAACCTCCCTGTCTCTCCACTTAACACCTAATGTATCATCATTCTTACGTGCCGAAACTACGAGCCACAGCAGCCATTTTTAACCAATCTCCAAGATATGGTTTCAAGAGAGGTGACTACACGGGATTTTATCATTACTTGTCAGCCGTGTATTTGTCACACGTTACTGACAAACCAAATGTTTATTACGAAGTTGAGTTGTCTACGGTGCTTGTATGGAACACCATGCGTAACTTTATATCGCAATATACACCTAAACATTGTAAATATCCCCGCTGGTTCTCTATGAACCTATAAGTGCAATGAAGCATAACGTAGATATGCGAGGATTTTTTTTTCTTGGATGTTGGGTCAACGTGAACGCAAGAACCCCAAGACACGCTTGGGTTCTACTCATGCGCACTTGCAGCTGTCAAGTTTCTTGGTTCTCCAAGACTCTTGGGTCTTCTAAAACATTTCCGTGTCTCTCGCAGGGCGGTGGACCTTTTCTCTGGTTCTGGTTGCTTCGGCGTGCGCGGCTCTTGCGGTAGCTAGCTGCCCGGACGCGACCCACCTGAGCCCATGCACGTGCGACGACGAAGGCATCAACTGCAGGCGCGCCCAGAGTACGTCTCAGTTGAGACAGGCTTTCGGGAGTGGCGACGCGCTCAGCAGAGAGCACAAAGAGCTGTGGATTCAAAAGACTCCCCTTACCGTCGTTCACGGTGGGCGTGCTGGGAAACTTCAAGTTCGAGAAGGTCCACGTCGAACACAACGCCAACTTGAGCTTCTTCACTCTGGATTCTCTCACGACTTTCAAAGAGTTGCTCAACGTGCTCAGTTTGTACGGCAACGCACTGCAGACGTTCGAATTCGACAAGTAAGCAATCAGAAATTTTAAATGCGAAATTTTTTTGGAATATTATCTAGGGTTTTACGTCCCAACACCACAATATGATTATGAGAGACACCACAGTGGACGGCTTCGAATATTTTTACCAACAGGTGTTCTTTAACATGCACTGACATCACATAGTACGGAAGCATCTACCATTTCGAGTTCACCGAAATGCGACCACCGTTGCTGAGATCGAACCCGTGACCTTAGAGTCAGCAGCCGTGCATCTTAGCCACTGATTCACCGTGTCAGACGCGAAGCATTTCCTGACTAAAGAAAGACACCTGAGCGAATATATTTAGCGGCTACGACTTCGTACTCTCGGGGCCGCTTCGTCAGCTTGATATACAGAAAGTTGGTGGGCTGTAATTTGGGTATGATAAGCGCTAATGACAGGTAGGTTGTAACGCGAAAACTGAACAAGCGCCTCATGTCTGGCATGGTTTACACAGCCAGCCTTTGTGATCTCCGAGTTGTTTTGTTAACGGATATATAGATCAAAATTAGCATGGCGCAACATGACCGTTTCACAAACAAAAATAATACGTTATGCATAATATGTATGCGAATGCATGTTTCATTTGCGTGCCTTATACCACAATGTACCGGCGTGACCAGCATGTTTCAACTATCGCCATCTTGTAGCAAACAGCCTCAAACCACAATTAGACGTATATTTAGATGGCATTGTCAAAAGTAACGTCAAATATTGGATGACATCTTAAGCTTCGTCTTGCCAGTTGAACGCGATAACTATATTCTGTTCTAAGCGCGTACTTCAAAGACTTAGTGCATGATCTCTTTTCGAACCTACTATGGACCTTGAATGAGGCCTTGATGGTGCAGTAGCATGCGCGCCTTTTGTTGTGGTTGGCCGGCTTTAAACTATGAAGTCATTATGATAATTTCTTGTTCTGACGCTCCATGGCACTGAACGCCTGTACCACGCATTGTTAAGGCAGCATTTCATGTTGCATTGCGAAGCATGTATACAGGAAGCGTGTGTTTGTAAATAATGAAAGCAACTTCAACTTCAGTTTCATGCAGAGGAAATTATTTTCACTGTGATAACAAGCAAAGACATGGCTGTGTTCAGACCCGAACGACCGGGGTTCCATTCTCTCTGGTACCCATAATTTTTAAGTGAATATTTCTTAATTTCTAGGACCCGCAGTATTATATCTTTTCGCTCAAAAGCCACGACGCCGACGGTGAAATTTCTAGTAAACGAGTTTTTAACGCTCTCGTGTTAGAAAGAGGACAATATCATGTTCCGTAAACTGTGGCGAGTCCCATCACGCGTATGTTCCAAGAGCACGGGGAACGTATGGTAAAGATCTATCCGTCTGACGATTCAGCCACCTGGCGAAAGTCTAAACCCGTGCGCAAGTCCCACCCATCCCGATTTGGTAGCTCACTTCGTACTTTTGAACATTATTATTAAAAAAGCAAGTATTGCGCATATTTGGAGCGCGTCATTTATTCGTAAGTCTTGCGTAGTGTGTTTATTTACTAAATGCATAGATACGTAATTCTTCATACCGCAGTGTTTATCCAGCTGCGTTGACAATGCGACGCTATGAACAAAAAAGTGGGAGTTTTGAGTGGTTTATTGATTGATATATGTGGAGTTGAACCTCTCAAAATCCCCACATGATTATAAGAGACGCCGTAGTGGAGGGCTCCGGAAATTTTAACCGCATGGGCTTCATTAACGTGTACCCAAATCTGAGCATATGGGACTACAGCATTTTAGCCTCCATTGAAAATTCGTCCACCACAGTGGGGATACAATCCCGTGAGCTGCGGGTCAGCACCCGAGTACCTTAGCTATACTAGACCACTGCGGCGGGGTAAAATGGGAGTTCCTTATAGGCTTCGCTAAAACGACACGGGGCTAGCAATTACCAGTAGGTCTTCGTTCTAAAGAAACTCGTTTCTTCAGATTGCTGCTGGCAGATGGCGCTATATCTCCAGCAACCCTCACCAATAACCTCGCAGAGAACATCAAATAAACGTTTCGTCCTCTCTTTCCAGACAGCGGACTACTGTTTTTCACCCTCCTTTGTAAGGCCGCCTGCAGATATGTGGTGAATTCTTAATAGAACATTTTGCCCGATTTTGTTTGCCACAAAAGTCGAATGCCGAAGTGGTAACAGCCATAAAATTTTCTTCAATATTTGCTTGAGAGAACTGCGAAGCGGCGATTATTCAGTCATCATGGGAATTATTGGTAGTACTTGAAGCTGCCTTAGTTATGTGCCTTCTGCCTCGAACGCATTGTGGCTTTCTTATACTACTGCGCTTTGATTGCAGTTTTGGCCAAAAAAAAAAAAACGACTAGTTGTGAGTTCTATGAATCGGCAGAAAATGGTGAGCCTAAAAGGGCCAATGTGGTGACGCGGGACTGCTCGAATCTTTATGAACAACCACTTGGGTCAAAGCGGCTGCCGGCTTCACGGAGCCATATCTTACTGAAAGAACGAGGCTTAGAAAATTTGTGTACAACCAATCATTCTCATACTGACTGAAGCATCCAGCCTTGTTGCTCCTATAGGCAATAGCGTCAGATTTACCTTTAGGTTACTCCTCTGAAAACATACTGTAAGAGCCCTGGTACGGCCTCCAGCTGTAGTGTCCTCTGTGTACTGTAGACACAGGCACGTGAACCGAGCCGTCTTCCATCTGGCATATTTCTTGCCTTTGTGTGTCGTTTGGTCCATTATTTCGCTCAACTCCATGCAGGCTGCTTCGTTTCCCGTATCTCGTGAGTCTCAACCTCGGAAGGAACCGGCTGAGGAGCATCCCGGCCAACGCATTCCGCAGCATCCGCCTGCATAAGCTGGGGCTCAGGGAAAACCCCATCACTTCCATCGGGCAACGGGCTTTCTACGCTCTACCCAATCTCAAGGAACTTGACCTCAGTCGTACAAGGCTCAACACCTTGGGCCCATACTCACTGTCCATACTGAGGGCACACCCGGAACTCAGGGTAAGCTATGACTGAAAATCCACAAGATCATTTGTGCCTTTGCGGGAGGGAGTTCTGAAGCATGTGGACCGTGAAGATTTTGCTAGAGAGGGGTCTAAGACGTGGCTGTCTTCGTCCGATATTTTTTTCCTAAGAATTCTTGCACTACATCCCCGTCACTGCTCGTAAACACCATTTTCGTGAGATGCGCCTTGTGGTCCTTATGCAAAAACGAAACCGTGAAACAAGAACTGTACATTTAAGAAGTGGCGTCCAGATTTTCGTCGTCTTGAGGATCGGTATATTTCTCGAAACTTCATGTTAGCTCAGTATTATACAGTTCCTTAACTGCATTTTCGAAACAGAGGAATGCGGTAGTGTAGTCGCGAGTTCAGATTTCTCGGCGGTGCCACTTATATCTCCTTGTCTTCACTCGCTGGCCCAAACGCTGATATATAATACTTCCCTTTAGTGAAAAGCCAGACATCCTTCAGTAGCCACTTAAGCTATGAGTCCAAATGTCTTCGTTCGCATTATCTACATTATATTGCAATTAAACCCCCTTTGATTGATTGATAAATTTATTTATTAATTGATAAATGACATACGAGAAAGGCCTTGACTCAAACCGAGAAGTTAACTGAGTTAAACAGACATCAGGCTGAAACCCCAAAATACCCGCGCCCTTTCCCACTTCCCTTCTACCCACAAGCCTCATAAGAGACTTAACTTCTTGACTATGGCCGAATGGCTGAGGTGAGTTTGACGTTGAATTTCAGTGACGGAGTCGGGGCATCTTTATCTTTTCGTTCTGGATCGATATTGTTGCAATGACAGACTACGAGTCGCAGTGAAGTGTTCCAATAGAATCTACGGATTGGAGTCAGAGCGGCAATCACACCTCGTAACGGGAAAAGTATCTCGGAAACTTCTTTTAAAACGCTTTCCTGCTTGGGGCGCTGCGGACGTTTCCAGTGGGGTCACGCATGCTGGCGGTAATGGCGGACGGCAAGGACGACGGGGCGAATCGTGTGTCACTGCTTCCATTGATCGCAAGCGACACCTTCAAATCTGAAAGCCTCAGGTCCTGCACGGGCGATATGTGGGATAGTCAGGGCAATGCTGGAAGCTTTTGTGCGAGCGGCAATCACATAGAAATCAGGAGCGGAAAGGAACTACGTGCGAGGTATTCTCGACAACTCGGCATCTTAAAGACAGAACTGCCGCTTACGTCTTGCTCCAGGGTTGCGGGTTTTATTTCAAGCCCACATCCTGAGGCGTTATTCAAACCCGGGTCCAGTTCTTACTCCTGGAATCTGCCGGCTGCTAGGAATCTGCCAATAGAATTCAACATAGACACTTAAAAGGACTGGAACTTTTGGCCTCTTAGGCCAGAGTCCGAACTGAAAGGTGAAAGCCAAATATATTTTCATCTCTGCTTTTTGTGTTGTTCCTGGAAATTTTGTTTGCAGGAGCGCACAACGGGTATTTTTACAGATATGGTTTTGTAGCGCCCTGTCGCTGTCTCAGTTCCTGGAAGCGCCGAAACAAGAGGTATCCAGTGAGGCTTTTATGTGAACAAAGCTGGGTAATATGTATCAAATTGTAAACACTTATAAATTAAGGTTGTGTGGAAGTCACCATAATATCCTCTAGGTTGTCCCAAACATGGGTGAACCCAACAAGTGCACTCTGAGGGCAAGGACATCAGCCTTTGTACACCTGCGCAAATCCACGAAAAATACACTACCTGTTTTCGTGGAGTCGCTCGTTAAGAGGGATATCTTGCAAAGAGCATTGCCCCCAGACAAACTCACAATGCAGATAGGTTTTGGTTGGTAACATTCAAAATAATTGGTGCGGTTATTTGGCACGCTTCGCATCCAGCTGTGTGAGATGCAATGTAGAATCAAATTTGAATATGTTCTACGTTACATCAGCAGCTGATAGTTTTTACATTAAGCGAGTATTTTAATACTTCTATCTCATAAGCTATATGAGCATGAAGAGTTCTGCCAGTGCTGCTTTGTGGTGACACTGGCTTCGACGCCTAGGTATGAAGCACTGTACGATGTAAGAGTAACATCTCTTTAAGGGCTGTGTTTAGATTTTTGCTCGCGACATTGTGCGTTCCTCTCGACAAGCCTGACGTGTACTGCCGCTTGCGGACACTCATGACAGCGTGCTCTTTCCACAGCTTGTCTAGCATTTCGCTGAACCTCTTTGGCCGACGTTGCGACGACACTCGGCGTGCGTGGAAAGAAGTATTCGTAATCGACGTGCTTACATGCTCGATAGATGTCTGCGCCGACTGATTCTTTACCCAATTGCACACACCTCGTGGACAATGTGAAAAACCATCTTCTTCGGCACTCACGTGGCTCAGGGACACTCACAGGATCTTGGCTGAATCTTAAAGGGGTCGTGAAACGGTCGCTTTACGACGACAATGCGACACCATCGGCAGCCACATGCGCTAAATATATCATCAGCCCGAGTGGACCTGCATAGACGCTTTGCCTATCGAGGAACGCAGAACTATATACGACATATCGAGCGCGCGGAAGAGGCGCTCATCCGCGTCTGCCATACGCGATCCGCGTCCCACAAGAACGCTGTTTAATATGACGTCAGAGTTCAAGGTAGTGCCGATTGCGCATGGCGAAGACGCTGATGCGTGTCCCGGTTTCACGCACTCGCAAGTAGCGAAGATTTCCGCGTTCCTCAATAGGCAAAGCATTACTTATGATGACGTCAGCTAGTTAGTGCGAGTGGACGCCGGTGGCTTCGCATTGTCGCTTTAGAGCGAGCGTTTCACGACCCCTTTAAAAGTCAGGTTTACGGAACCAGGTGCCACCTTGCTTTGAGCGTGGGGCAGCAGTGTTATCGCCCTAGAACATTTCCAAAGTTGTGGCGATGCGTATGTCTGTTAGTCCCGGCTTCGAAAGAGATAACTATATTGCTTTCACGAAAGGTGACGAAAGTGGTCCAAATAAAACTATCAAATGCGAAGGCATTCCTTAGTCGGGCTACGTAAGTCATCCGGCTGCCAGGTGAGGTGCCGAAAGCTGGCAATCGCTATAGTCTTGGAAGCAGTGCGAAACCATGCTATGTGGAAAAGAGAGAGAGAGAAACAAAAAGGAAAGGCAGAAAAGTTAACCAAGCTTGGCTCGGTTGGGTACCCTACACTTGGGGTGGGGCAAAGGGGGATCATAGAAAGGAAAGAAATATAAAAGAAGAGGAGTAAGAAATAAATGGATAAAAAGTCAGCTCGACACTACACAGCAAGGTCTCACGTTGTTCTTGCACAAGCACTCGTGATGTCCGGTGGTCCTTAGGAAGCTCAAGAGGGCATTCGTGGCTTTGCGTGTACGCGAAACTGTCGGCAAAGGTCCCAGGATTTTTTTTTCTGTAAGTGGTCGTGAATCCAGCTGACGGAGCTTGGCTTGCACAATACATTTTGAGAGTTTTTAAAGGGGCGCTGGCAAGGATCGATACATCGATGAAGGAGAAAAATAACGATGTCGCTTTCGCTTTCGAGTAGTCTAAGACGAATGCATTGGGAAACCTTGGAGTTCTTCTGATGACTTTGTTCTAATGCGTTTATTTTCTTTCTCCTGTTACCAATGACGTTTACAGATCCAGCTCAACGATGCTGATATTTCAGTCATCCACTCGAGTGCTTTTGACTATGCGGCACCTCTTGTGCTCAACCTGGCTAACAACAGCCTGGCTACTCTGGAACAGAACCCTTTCGAGCCTCTCATCGGGCGCATGTACCAGAATGCAAAAAAATTCAATACTATACCTCTCGTCAGCGTCGCAGGTTAGTCATTATCATACCTATTTAGTTGAAATATAATAATATTAATATTAATAATATTAATAATAATAATAATAATCAACGAAATCTAACGCACAGAACCACGATTTAATTATGCAGCACGGTGTAGCGGAGGTCTGTGGAAATTCCCAACATTGTTCTTTTACATAAACTGACATCGCACAAATCATAGCGCTCTAGAATTTAACGTCCACCGAAATAAAACCGTCTTTAGGATGAGGAGCCAAAGCAATGTAACCGCTGTGTCTCCGAAACTCTTTAGTTCAGTTCTCATCCGACAAAAAAGTAGTGTTATTTGAGCCCCTGTATACATGAAAATATGTGCATCGAGACACATCCCTAGAACATACTTGTATTTTATTTGAGTTCAAGCTTTTGTTCTTAGAAGTAAGATTTTCAAGAGTGGCTGTGGATTGGTTGAGAGTACTCAGCACTTATTTGAATGATTCAACGAATATCACGAAGGTCATACAGGGCAGTTGATATTACCTAAACAATAATATACCCCAAACTTCTCGAAGACATATAAACAAGCGAAAAGAAAACCAAAGCCCACTGTCTCAAAGCCCACTGTCTTCGAGTGTAAATGCCTTTTCTCAAGCCAGTACACCAAACGTTTCTTTGTTTTTCTTTGTGCTTCATAATTCGTGGTTATTAACCTATTGCTTGTACCAGCATGACTTAAAATAATGTTCAACACTGGTACTGGTCAGTGGACGAACGATCAGTGGACAATGTATCAGTGGACGAACGATGTTGTTCGATTAAAAGCCTACGGTTGTAATAACGGGGTTACTTATTGAAAAAAGGACTACGTTGGACACGGCTATTAAAAGCTATCCTAATTGTTGGCACATAATTTTTTCTCTACAGTTACCGTTTTGCTTTTTAACAACGCAGGAAATCCTCTCACGTGTCGTGGCTGCGCGTACAAGTGGCTGGTACCGCACAGGTACTCCACGCTGGTGCGGGCCATTCTACATGGCTTTCGGTGTCCCGACGGCTTCGGTCTGACCAGCATTAGTGATCAGAAAATTGCCTGCTGGAAGAACTTCTGGAACTTCGCGAACATCGGCTAGTTATTTAAACCGCGTAGTACCTACGCATCAATCATCACAAAACAAAATAAACATCACTGCCATGATCCCCCTTACTCGTGTTCAAGTGTCACCTTATTTATTCTCTGCTGAATGTGAGCACTCCGTGAAATCGCGTGGAAGTATTGAACAGTGAGGCGTGATCAGTTTGTCAATATTTAGCGAAAATAGCACAGTGAAGTACTCTAATAAGTCCTTTCTGTGTCCGACATATTGCATCGGGAGACGCCAGGGAAGCGCAGAAGCAGTAGAAAAGAAAAATGATAAAGGAAAGAGTGGAAGCTTAACCAGGGCTGACCCCAGGATGGTATGCTTCCCCAGGCAAGGAAAAGTTAGGAATGGGGACAAGGAAGGAATAGGAAGGGAAGGAAATTCAAGGATTTTAACTCAGCTAGGAGGAGAGGTATGCTACCTTAAACAGGGTAAAAAGGTGGAAGACTATAAAATTGAAGAAAAAGAGGAAAAAAGAACAAGTACAAAGTCACGTCACAGTCATCATAACAGAGTAAACTTATAATCACTGGTGCAAGTCTGTTGCGTTCAAGAAGCTGAGCACCACCTTCATTGCCTTCATGCGCGATGGCCTCTCGTGTCGACATTGCAAAATAATTTCCGCTGTCATCGGTCTCCGATCTATCCGAGCTAGAGTGGCTGCTAGAGGTGTTCTCCGCACAATGTACAAAAAAGTCAGTGTTGCCAGTGGCGTAACTTAAAGGGCCAAAGGGGATTTGCCCTTAAAGGGCCAATGAACAGGCTGCGAAACGCGCAGGAAAAGCTTGTCCATTTTTCCTGCGCGTGACCAACCACCTTCCACGCGCAGTGACGTTAACTCGACGATCAGTGACGTTGACTTCGTTACTCTTTTTTAAAACCTGGTTTTGACCAATCGAAGTGCTGCTTGCTGCGTCACGTCGCCGATCGTCGAGTTGACGTCACCGCGCGTGGAAGTAGGCTGGTCCCACGCAGAGAAAATGCACGAGCTATTCCTGCGCGTTTCGGAGCCTCTTGACTGGCCCTCTAACCTCAGAAACAGATAATCAGGCTGAAATCTTTGCAGAATCGGAGCAGCCATTTTGTTCCCTTTTTGTATCTAACACGCAGTCCCACGTTACCAAGGTCCTGTAGACGGTGAAACCGTTCTCGTCCTGATGGTGGGTATATGAAGTTTATTGATTGATTGATTGATTGATTTGTGGGGTTTAACGTCCCAAAAGCACTATTTGATTATGAGAGACGCCGTAGTGGAGGGCTCCGGAAATTTTGACCACCTGGGGTTCTTTAACGTGCACCCAAATCTGCGTACACGGGCCTACAACATTTCCGCCTCCTACGGAAATGATTGATTGATTTGTGGGGTTTAACTTCCGAAAACCACCATATGATTATGAGAGACGCCGTAGTGGAGGGCTCCGGAAATTTTGACCACCTGGGGTTCTTTAACATGCACCCAAATCTGAGCACACGGGCCTCGACATTTCCGCCTCCATCGGAAATGCAGCCGCCGCAGCCGGGAGTATATGAAGTTTATGTATAATGTTTCAATAATACGCGTAACATAACAAAAGGTGCCTAAGAGGTTAAATTGTGTGCCCTTTTCATGCAAAATGAGAGGGCGCGGCGCCACGCCGAAGAGGCACTCGTTTGAACGCGTCCGTGTGATCAGGCCGTAATACTCGCGTTCCAAAACAGACAGGTGCCTACAGTGAAGAACGAGACAAGGCAGATATCACAAAGTATGAACAATCAGTGCGATGAAAAACACAAAGCGCCTATCTCTTCCATACAATCCCATCAGCTCACTCACGCGTGACCACGTGAGTGAGCTGATGGGATTGTATGGAAGAGATAGGCGCTTCTTGATAATTAGGACGCATCACAGTTGAGCAGAGAGAACGAATAGGCTATGAATTGAGCAAATGAAGACAACTGCAGATATCCTATCAGTGCATAGTGAGTATTGGCTGAGTTTCCTCTGAAAATATGGTACTTTGATTTTTGATAGTGTGTAGAGCACTAAGTGGCTTTTCATCACCGGGCGAGGGCTTGTAGGTCCGACTCCCAGGTCATTCAAACACAAAACTTTTGTTCGGGATTTTTATTTGTAATCTGACTATGTACGTTTTAATAACGTCTCAACTATGAAAGAAATGTGAGTGAGATAACCTTAAAGAAGACATGTGCTTTCGTGGTATAAAATTGCAAATGGAGGCTGTGCAACAATTGTAGAGACATTTGTGCGCCCAGTAACTACAACAGAATCGTTCAAACAAGGCTAGCCAAGACGTACAATTCTTCCCACTGCCACATAAGGGCACGCGATCGAGCGTACGCAACCTCATTCCCTGCCCGGGCCAAAGAACGCGTGAGAGATGAGAGCTGCCGCGCGCTCAATGCGCCATCTTGCTGATAATGCAGAAAACACGATAGCTGCCCCCCGAGATGCCCGCCAACAGCGGTCAGTGGTAGATAGGAATGACTTACCGTTTGAACATTGAAGGAGGTGCCTCTCTGTGGCTCAGTGGTTAGCGCCTCGCATTCACGACGCGGAGGTCCCACGTTCGATTCCACGAGCCCGAGTCTTTTAAAGACGAAAGTGTTTCTTTGGGACCTTCAACAACAAATTTTGGTCTGTCTGTCTATACATCTGTCTGTTTGTCCGCGCATAACGATACCTCAAATAGCATCAAACGGCTGACCCCACCCGCAGCGCCCGATAATATTGCTTTAGGTTTATCGTTCATAAATGCGCGATTGTCCATTAAAAAGCAATTATTGCACATATCTGAGGCACCATAACAACACGTTGATGTTTTGTATGTCTGTCTTTATACTAGAAGAGGCACACACAAGTAACTTTATGGACTGTAGCATTTATCGCGCTGCGCTGACAGTGCAACGTGATGCTCAAAAAGGTGTTTGCAACGCTTTGCTACGTCGACATGGCGGTGGCACCTGCCCATCGTTTTGCGTTCTATACCTTATCACCTCCGAGTCTGGCGCGCATCTTTCTCCCCGCGCACGCATGCCTTCGTTTTCGAAGATAACTGCCAGATGGCGCTCGTGTCTAACGTGCCTCGATGCGCTCGTTCGCCTCCGCTCATACGTTAATTCTATTTTGCGCCGTTTCCCGCAGCACGCACAGGATTACGCAAGGCATCATTGATTCATGGTCAATCAGCTGACACCACCACCCTTCGCACTGCGGCGAAAATGAGGTAGAGAACATTAAGCAGTTCCTATCATTTGAGAAAGTACTTTATGGCCCGATTCATTTGACGAACAACAGTTCATCCGGTAAATGAGGCATGGGGAGCACGTCCATGCGTCCTATCTTTTCCTATGCAAGTTCACGGATTGACCCTGCTGCCACAGCCACCTTTGGTTGCATGGCGCGCCATCTATGGTTCATGGGCATTGCGAACAGTGCCTTTCATTACAGCTTTGGTACTGATCAGCGTTGCCGGATGCTACTACGCAAACAATAATATACCCCAAACTTCTCGAAGACATATAAACAAGCGAAAAGAAAACCAAAGCCCACTGTCTCAAAGCCCACTGTCTTCGAGTGTAAATGCCTTTTCTCAAGCCAGTACACCAAACGTTTCTTTGTTTTTCTTTGTGCTTCATAATTCGTGGTTATTAACCTATTGCTTGTACCAGCATGACTTAAAATAATGTTCAACACTGGTACTGGTCAGTGGACGAACGATCAGTGGACAATGTATCAGTGGACGAACGATGTTGTTCGATTAAAAGCCTACGGTTGTAATAACGGGGTTACTTATTGAAAAAAGGACTACGTTGGACACGGCTATTAAAAGCTATCCTAATTGTTGGCACATAATTTTTTCTCTACAGTTACCGTTTTGCTTTTTAACAACGCAGGAAATCCTCTCACGTGTCGTGGCTGCGCGTACAAGTGGCTGGTACCGCACAGGTACTCCACGCTGGTGCGGGCCATTCTACATGGCTTTCGGTGTCCCGACGGCTTCGGTCTGACCAGCATTAGTGATCAGAAAATTGCCTGCTGGAAGAACTTCTGGAACTTCGCGAACATCGGCTAGTTATTTAAACCGCGTAGTACCTACGCATCAATCATCACAAAACAAATAAACATCACTGCCATGATCCCCCTTACTCGTGTTCAAGTGTCACCTTATTTATTCTCTGCTGAATGTGAGCACTCCGTGAAATCGCGTGGAAGTATTGAACAGTGAGGCGTGATCAGTTTGTCAATATTTAGCGAAAATAGCACAGTGAAGTACTCTAATAAGTCCTTTCTGTGTCCGACATATTGCATCGGGAGACGCCAGGGAAGCGCAGAAGCAGTAGAAAAGAAAAATGATAAAGGAAAGAGTGGAAGCTTAACCAGGGCTGACCCCAGGATGGTATGCTTCCCCAGGCAAGGAAAAGTTAGGGATGGAGACAAGGAAGGAATAGGAAGGGAAGGAAATTCAAGGATTTTAACTCAGCTAGGAGGAGAGGTATGCTACCTTAAACAGGGTAAAAAGGTGGAAGACTATAAAATTGAAGAAAAAGAGGAAAAAAGAACAAGTACAAAGTCACGTCACAGTCATCATAACAGAGTAAACTTATAATCACTGGTGCAAGTCTGTTGCGTTCAAGAAGCTGAGCACCACCTTCATTGCCTTCATGCGCGATGGCCTCTCGTGTCGACATTGCAAAATAATTTCCGCTGTCATCGGTCTCCGATCTATCCGAGCTAGAGTGGCTGCTAGAGGTGTTCTCCGCACAATGTACAAAAAAGTCAGTGTTGCCAGTGGCGTAACTTAAAGGGCCAAAGGGGATTTGCCCTTAAAGGGCCAATGAACAGGCTGCGAAACGCGCAGGAAAAGCTTGTCCATTTTTCCTGCGCGTGACCAACCACCTTCCACGCGCAGTGACGTTAACTCGACGATCAGTGACGTTGACTTCGTTACTCTTTTTTAAAACCTGGTTTTGACCAATCGAAGTGCTGCTTGCTGCGTCACGTCGCCGATCGTCGAGTTGACGTCACCGCGCGTGGAAGTAGGCTGGTCCCACGCAGAGAAAATGCACGAGCTATTCCTGCGCGTTTCGGAGCCTCTTGACTGGCCCTCTAACCTCAGAAACAGATAATCAGGCTGAAATCTTTGCAGAATCGGAGCAGCCATTTTGTTCCCTTTTTGTATCTAACACGCAGTCCCACGTTACCAAGGTCCTGTAGACGGTGAAACCGTTCTCGTCCTGATGGTGGGTATATGAAGTTTATTGATTGATTGATTGATTGATTTGTGGGGTTTAACGTCCCAAAAGCACTATTTGATTATGAGAGACGCCGTAGTGGAGGGCTCCGGAAATTTTGACCACCTGGGGTTCTTTAACGTGCACCCAAATCTGCGTACACGGGCCTACAACATTTCCGCCTCCTACGGAAATGATTGATTGATTTGTGGGGTTTAACTTCCGAAAACCACCATATGATTATGAGAGACGCCGTAGTGGAGGGCTCCGGAAATTTTGACCACCTGGGGTTCTTTAACATGCACCCAAATCTGAGCACACGGGCCTCGACATTTCCGCCTCCATCGGAAATGCAGCCGCCGCAGCCGGGAGTATATGAAGTTTATGTATAATGTTTCAATAATACGCGTAACATAACAAAAGGTGCCTAAGAGGTTAAATTGTGTGCCCTTTTCATGCAAAATGAGAGGGCGCGGCGCCACGCCGAAGAGGCACTCGTTTGAACGCGTCCGTGTGATCAGGCCGTAATACTCGCGTTCCAAAACAGACAGGTGCCTACAGTGAAGAACGAGACAAGGCAGATATCACAAAGTATGAACAATCAGTGCGATGAAAAACACAAAGCGCCTATCTCTTCCATACAATCCCATCAGCTCACTCACGCGTGACCACGTGAGTGAGCTGATGGGATTGTATGGAAGAGATAGGCGCTTCTTGATAATTAGGACGCATCACAGTTGAGCAGAGAGAACGAATAGGCTATGAATTGAGCAAATGAAGACAACTGCAGATATCCTATCAGTGCATAGTGAGTATTGGCTGAGTTTCCTCTGAAAAATATGGTACTTTGATTTTTTGATAGTGTGTAGAGCACTAAGTGGCTTTTCATCACCGGGCGAGGGCTTGTAGGTCCGACTCCCAGGTCATTCAAACACAAAACTTTTGTTCGGGATTTTTATTTGTAATCTGACTATGTACGTTTTAATAACGTCTCAACTATGAAAGAAATGTGAGTGAGATAACCTTAAAGAAGACATGTGCTTTCGTGGTATAAAATTGCAAATGGAGGCTGTGCAACAATTGTAGAGACATTTGTGCGCCCAGTAACTACAACAGAATCGTTCAAACAAGGCTAGCCAAGACGTACAATTCTTCCCACTGCCACATAAGGGCACGCGATCGAGCGTACGCAACCTCATTCCCTGCCCGGGCCAAAGAACGCGTGAGAGATGAGAGCTGCCGCGCGCTCAATGCGCCATCTTGCTGATAATGCAGAAAACACGATAGCTGCCCCCCCCCCCCCCCCGAGATGCCCGCCAACAGCGGTCAGTGGTAGATAGGAATGACTTACCGTTTGAACATTGAAGGAGGTGCCTCTCAGTGGTAATAAAGAAAAAAAAAACTTTGTGGCTCAGTGGTTAGCGCCTCGCATTCACGACGCGGAGGTCCCACGTTCGATTCCACGAGCCCGAGTCTTTTAAAGACGAAAGTGTTTCTTTGGGACCTTCAACAACAAATTTTGGTCTGTCTGTCTATACATCTGTCTGTTTGTCCGCGCATAACGATACCTCAAATAGCATCAAACGGCTGACCCCACCCGCAGCGCCCGATAATATTGCTTTAGGTTTATCGTTCATAAATGCGCGATTGTCCATTAAAAAGCAATTATTGCACATATCTGAGGCACCATAACAACACGTTGATGTTTTGTATGTCTGTCTTTATACTAGAAGAGGCACACACAAGTAACTTTATGGACTGTAGCATTTATCGCGCTGCGCTGACAGTGCAACGTGATGCTCAAAAAGGTGTTTGCAACGCTTTGCTACGTCGACATGGCGGTGGCACCTGCCCATCGTTTTGCGTTCTATACCTTATCACCTCCGAGTCTGGCGCGCATCTTTCTCCCCGCGCACGCATGCCTTCGTTTTCGAAGATAACTGCCAGATGGCGCTCGTGTCTAACGTGCCTCGATGCGCTCGTTCGCCTCCGCTCATACGTTAATTCTATTTTGCGCCGTTTCCCGCAGCACGCACAGGATTACGCAAGGCATCATTGATTCATGGTCAATCAGCTGACACCACCACCCTTCGCACTGCGGCGAAAATGAGGTAGAGAACATTAAGCAGTTCCTATCATTTGAGAAAGTACTTTATGGCCCGATTCATTTGACGAACAACAGTTCATCCGGTAAATGAGGCATGGGGAGCACGTCCATGCGTCCTATCTTTTCCTATGCAAGTTCACGGATTGACCCTGCTGCCACAGCCACCTTTGGTTGCATGGCGCGCCATCTATGGTTCATGGGCATTGCGAACAGTGCCTTTCATTACAGCTTTGGTACTGATCAGCGTTGCCGGATGCTACTACGCAAAGAAGCGAATTCTAATCACGAAACCCCAAACGAAGCGTAAATGTTAAAAACTTTTACATTCTTGAGCAAAATATATTCAAATACGGTAAGTAAATGTCATTCCTAAACAAAATGAATTTTGAGCGAATATCTAATTGCTTTCCACGTCGAACGTATGTGCAACTCAAGCGAAAGCACATAGCCACTTTTCAACGCCATCTGGTAGTCTCCATTCAGTTGAAGACACGTTTGCCAGCGCTTCATTAACGTTACTTGTCGATTCCCGCAACGTATACTTGACTTCACCAGTCAACCATACAGACCGTGATACTTGGGTTGGAAAGGCGTGAAGGGTGGGGTTGCGCGACGCAGTATCTGTTCCCCAGGTGAGGACACCGCAAACGTGACACTTAGAAGGGATGGTGGATAAAAGATAGGGGAAGAAATCAAGTGGAGTAGGTGGCTTGCATAAACACAGCACTGGCAGGAGAAAAAAAGAACACAGGGTCCTCGCCGTTGGTTCCAGGCTTAGTCGGTGTGTTTCAGGAGTGGTCGGTCAATTTGGCAATTTCAATGAAGACGTGCGCACGGAGAGGTAGCTGGGGGCCGCCCTCGAACTATCGAGTCACGTAAAAGGGAGAGCTGCAAAATGTGACCTTTTGCATTGACGTAGTAAGACGGTGGTCACTGGGACAAACTCTCGCCCCCCTTGGTGGCGAACCCTGCGCCCTCCAATGCACTCGGCTACTCTCAGTCATCAACAAGCGTGCCTTTAGTTAACGACGAACGTGCATTCCTGAAAGTGGTCAGCGCTATACTAACTATATTTCTGGGAAAAATGAAAATGACCTTCCCCGCCACCCCACCCCCTCGCCGAAAAAAACAAACAAACATGACAAGCGACTGGAAAATTTTACAAGCGAACCGGCCAAACGAAGAAGCCAAAATCCTCTTTTTATAGGCAGAACCCGAAACTGTGGCACTCACAATACTGATTTTTTCACCTGTCACGAAGTGGTGCCGTCATGCGTTGTAATAATATGAGTGACGGCGAACAATAGGAGCCAATATCTTTTCGTGCCAGGTAACGTTGTCTTTATCGGCTAATCTCACGTGCTTCCTCACGAGCCCGCTACAAAGCCTCGCTCTTTCTCCCCTCCTGCTATTGTATACAGATAAACAGGGGGACATGGATACCTCTTAAGGTACCTGCACTTCTCAGGACATACGAGCACACAAAAAACTGCACAATAAGAGACAAAAAAAGAGAGGAACTAGTGGCGCATCCGTGGGATAAAAGCTGACGATAGTTCATCAGCCGCGTAGCGTGCCATTAGTTAGAAAAGTCCACTTAAAGCAGTGTTTCAGCAGCGAAAGTTGAGGTGCATCGAAACGACAACCCGCAATGGGTGAGTGACTTGATCATGCCAAAGTGTTTGAGTTTAGGTGTGACTCAATAGAATACTGAAGTCACCGATTCATGTCAATGTAAACCCGGAACTGTAAAAAAAAAAAAAGAAGAGCGGGAGTGGAAGTTGTAATTTATTGGCACCAAATGTGAGGACTGCGTCAATATGAAAAATTCGCCTAGTTGGAATGCTTGCATGATTGACGCTGCACCGCAGACAAAGACGAAAGACTAAATAAAAAGCGTAGCCTTTCGTGCGAAGCTCAGTTAAAGATTTCTCTTCGTTCTGCTTACGTGAACGCTACGTCAGTTCTAAAAAAAAGATAGTTGTTCAAAGGACAGTAATGTACTTGTACGGTAATGTGCGAAAATACACAGCCGATGAAGCCGATATGCAATAGGCTAATATCATAATCCACATTAGCACGTCTCTGTCTTCCATATCCATCCAACAACTGGCACGCAGCTGCCATGCTTCAAGTGGAGACAAGGACCTAGCTGCGAATGCTGATTCTTAATAACTATGCCTGTTTATGTGAAGATAGTCGAACCTGCATTTCCCACGGCTTTGAGCAAGCAATCTGTGCTTAGATACGCAGTTTGCAGTGAGCGACTAGCCGCAATCAGTAGGGCAGACTGCGTAATAGCAACTGTAGCTTTACAGGTATAAAAATACGATAAGGCAAACACTGCACACGGGAAAATAAATTGCCTTTGTGAAATGCATCTCCACGAAGCGATTCTTCTCAAACCCTTGGAGCATACGAGGGAATTGCTATAGACTGTTTTCTTGTCACATTTAATGTCTAATCATACCTCTGCTAAGTAGGCGGAGTTTTACCTCCAATTTAGGAAAAACAATTCACTTCCTTATTTTTGGTATAAACCCTTGCTTCTAAGGTAAGGTGTACAGCGAATAGTGTTCACGAAATTTACTGCGAAACGAACAGGTGCATCAGTACACACCATAAGGAGCGTTACTATATTATTGACCACCACATGCATTCTGATTGATAGATTCAGAAGTGAAGTTGAGAGGACGGTGTTTTGATATCCCGAATTTCTTGAATAAACATTTGCAGCATTCATTTTTGTGACGTTGACATTTTGATACCTGGCGGAAGGGGTGAGGTCTGAGCTTTTAGGTTGATTAATTAAAAAAAAATTCAAGCAACCTCTGGTTTTTGGCACACGTCGACATTCATAAATTTTTGGTCGGGCATTTCTGGTTGCTATGACGCCCATCTGTCAGCCCCTGAAGCATAACCACTGAGAACGAGATTCGCACGTTGAGAGTGGAAGCTATGAAACTTGACCTATAAGCACTCGTACTGGCGTTAGAGATCTCAAAGGCCACAAAGATAACTGTTCTGACTCATTAGGTAACCAGGGTGCGGTAAGCATGGCACGCTAGTAGACAGCTTAACGTGTGACTGAATCGCATCGTAGTAAAAGAGCAAAAACTCAAGAGATCGTTTTGCTTTGATATACAAAACATTATTGAGAACTAGTAGTTCGTTAGTTCTGTTAGTTCTATTTAATAAGTCGCACTGTTGTGTGAGACAATAGTGTGGGCTGTCTATCCACTAGTGTTGCGCTCTCAGTTTCCACTTACTTGGTCCTTAAGACACTCATTTAAAACAGATTAATCGATGCGGTTGGACGTCTATTGAAAGCGGTGGATGGCAAAGCGGACCATGTGGGCGATGAACGGAATTTCCAATGCCGCCTGCACTGAGAAGAAGCCTTGCTTGGAGCTATCACGCTATAAATTTCTTCGCAACCAATTTAACAGCGTAGCTGTCTAAGCTAGGCGAAACTCAGTTGTCATGGCGCATTAGCTGCTTGAGAGATGAGAAACCACGTTGAGAAGAGGGGCGTCCAGTCTTGCTATGCCAAGGCACTCAAAAGCAAAAGAGGTATAGTACTGGATAGCAAGAAGTGGAAAACACAAGTGGGGAAGTAGAATAGTCATGTAAAAGTGATGAGGAAGGAATATGGTAAAGCATGACTGGTGCGTTTATTCTGGTAAACTGTAGCATGTCATAGGCTTGTGTAGTATAGTAAAGCAAGTGGATGAAAATGAAAGTGAGGGTAACGGGGACTTATGTAAGTGAGTAAGAGTGTATAGCATAGTCATGCACAGTACAGCATACCAAGGGGTGGAAAAGGGAAGCGCGTGTAAAGAAAAGCAGACGTCAACTTCGGTGTTTTCCCAGTCTTAGCGCCACTGCCGCGCAGTTGGCCCCATTTTTTTTCCTAATGTTCAAATATAATCTGCCGAGCAAAATCGTAAATGTAAGTGCAGACAAGAAAAAGTGATTGGTGAGTTTCTTGGTTAGGTCATTTTAAGGTACCAGAGAAATTAACTCTACGATGAATGACGCGGAGTAAGTGCACAGATAATTTCTAACGCGGGGGGTTCATTTACGTGCCCTGAAGTTGAACAACCCAGGAGGCTCCGTAATTTCACTCCATCTAAATCCGACCGCCGTGGCCTGTATGAAGCTCGCTAATTTCGAGTCCGAGGTCGACTACCTCAGCAACGTCGCCACGTCGGGAGCTGCCTATCGTTTCAAAGAATGAAAGCATGGTGTTACTTGTAAAACAATACATCCCCGAATATTCTTGTATCAGGATAATTACGTGAAAGCAAGCAATTTTTATGCAATGGCTAGAATATTGAGTGGTAGCCCAGTGCCTTGACCGTTTCTGGAAAGGATGATGGCATGATTGACCTGCTAATAATTAAAAGCCGCTGCGGTAGCTTAGTACGTAGAGTGTCACGCTCCAGGGCACGAGTATGAATCCTGGTGATTTTGACCGCATTTAGATGGGGGCCAAATACAAACATCAATGTACCTATATTTAGATGAATGTTAAACAACCTCCTGAGACAATAATTTTTGGAGCCTACAACTACAAGACCCTTCTTATGATAAACCTTCTTGTGGTTCCTGGACACTAAACCATATTGATTGTTAGTAATAATATTATTATGTATCTAAAATTGTATCAGAGCTGGTGGCCCCGAAAAAGGTTAGTCGAACACAAACTACACCGTAAGTTTGTACACACTTTCTATCAAATGAAACCTTCATGGCTTCATAAAAACTTGTCTTTGTCCGGGATCAAAATGCGAACCAACGCCGTTCACGGGCGGTCGCTTCTAAATAATCTTCTAAATTTCTTCGACAATGTTTCCTCAGTCAAGAAACTTCCCTTTGTGATAATTCGTACGAATTTTTTTTTTTTTGCAGCTGTGCGCTGAAACCAGGTGGTTGTAAATTTTTCCATACCAAACGCAGTGTTGTTACACATACTGAATTCCCTTACGAATGAAATACGTGGTTCTAAGGCGGTCCTGAAGGAAAACAGTTGAGAGATCTTAACAGAGAGGGTGTGAAGACTTGAAACAGTGGAACTGATGGTGATCATGATTATAATAACCTATACGTGTGGCTCACACCCACTATGGAGGAATGGCCAAAGATCAAATAATTAGATAGTTTGAACTGACTAAATACATCAAGAAATTCTGAACCCGAGGGCTCATACTTGATCAATATAACAGAACAAAAATGGAGCTTATCCCCAAGTCTGAAAAACACGCAATTCTTGCCAACGTTCTGCGCCAAATGGCTTATTTCGCGCGTCAGAAAGTTGATGAAACGCGCCTTCCTCATACATATCAACGAACATTTGGACCTAGTTGAAGCTTACGCAGACATCATCCTCTGGTTTTAAGCTCAAGACTGCACGCAGGGTGAAATGTTTCAACTTAAACACCAGATAATTGACAACAAGATTAGAACTACTTGGGCGATTTCAGGGTTAGACCTGAAGCGAGCCTTTGACACCGCAGTTCACGCAGCCATACTATGCAACAAAGCCACACTAAATTTAGGCAACCAAGCGTAAACCCACGTGAAAGATTTTCTCACAAACAGAAGTGTCTCCTTAACGCTGGGCAGACTCACGTTCGGTGACAGGAGCATTAGCAGCATCAGCACCCCACTAGGCCACGTCATATCGCCGACGCTCTTCAATCTTATTATGATCGGTTTCCCCGAACGCCATGTACTCAGGCGACATTACGATTCGGGTATGCGAAGGAAATGATGAGACATCGAGCAGCGGCTGCAGACTGCGGTTGAGGTAGTCGTACACTGCCTCGTAGGAACTGGTCTTGTCTGTTCGTTAGAAAAATCTCAACTTTCCTTATACCGCCCGACGCTGAAGGAAGTCCTTCCAAGTGTTCCATTCGGCATGCCGAGTACGAAGAAATTTGCGTCCGCACCAAAGATGGCCAAGAAATTCCTAGTGTCAAGCAGATCTAGGTGCTCGGGCTCATAATTGAATCAAATGGTGCCAACGAAGCAACGATAAGGAATCTGGATACTAAAGTCGTAAACACGACGGGGCTCATCAGAAAAATCACGAATATACATCGGGGCATGAAGGAGGCCAGTGTCGTCCTACTCATTCATTTCTTCATGATTAGTCACATTTCATACGAGGCCACTCATCACAATTGGTACACTGCTGAAAAGACTAAGCTGTAAGCCATCAGTAGGAGAACACAAAAGATGCCACTTCGCCTTCCAGACAGCACAAGCATGGAACATCTACTGCAGTTGGGCATGCACAATATGTTTGAAGAGTTAAAACACCAAACCTCACCACTAGAGGGAATAACCAGGATGCGAATAGGCAGGCGCATCCTGGACAAACCCGGGATAGCCAATCACATGCAGCACGGCGATCAAAAAAAATCAATGCCCAGCCCGGTCGGAGAGAAGCTCCGTGTGGCTAAAGTACCCAAGAACATGCACCCTGTACTAAATGAGGGTGGAAAAGAGAGCAGAGCGCGGTCTCAACTTGAAACCTTTGGTAGGGAAAAAAGAGAGCTGTTCGTAGACTTGGCAGAATACGTGGACCTACGTGCCTTCGCAGCGGCAGTCCTCAATACTGACAAACAACTGGTCAGCTCGTGTAGTGTACGCAGTAGACACCTTGAGGTAGCGGAAGAAGCCCGATAGCCCGAGCCATAGTTTGCCCCACTAGCCAATACATTCTGTGTGATTCACACACAGCGGTCAGAAATAATTTAGCACAATGGAGAATTTCGCCAGAGGCCGCGGCTATCCTTAATGCCAACGCAAAGTATATAACCTCCGAAGAGATTGATTGATATATAGGGCTTAACGTCCCAAAACCACCATACGATTATGAGAGACGCCGTTGTAGAGGGCTCCGCAAATTTAGACCACCTGGTGTTCTTTAACGTCCACCCAAGCACATGGGCCTACAGCATTTGCACCTACATCGAAAATACAGCCGCCACAGCCGGAATTCAATCCCGTGACCTGCGGGTCAGCAGCCGAGTACCTTGGCCACTTGACAACCGCGGCGATATGTTATATGGTTCCCGGCTCCCACGCCCCTCCACATCTCCGTGCCCAACCCGTAGCGCGAGGTCTCCTATTGTGCGCCCGAGCAGAAAGGTCGTCTTCAAGTTATCGACATACCGCGGAAGGTTGGACAGACAGGGATAGAATGACCCAGTACGGGGACATTGGGAACTTTGATAATAAAAATTGGCAGATCGCGCGTACAGTCGGAATTGGTGACATGCGAAGCACAAATGAAAAGGTTGATATGTCACTTTAAAATCAGCGCAACCTTTTGAGGCCGATGTAAATTATGCCGTACAAGACTTGCATATCATGATTATTATATCTGCGACTGTCATTTACCTTCGTCATCTAATCACGTCACTTGATACCAAATTCGGTATATGTGAAGCTAAAGAAACGACCGCGAGTGCATGATGAAGAGCCCAATATACTCCGACGTACGGTTGACACGCGCGCACGCTGGGCGCAGCGACGCTACGCTAGCAAAACACGAGCGCTCTATAGTCTGACGCCAGGTGCGATCGGCGCGACCACCATCCGTCGGCGCAGCCCCGCGGCAACGGGCGCGAAACGCAACATGCTGCATTTCGCGCCGATTACGTTATCTAGCTCTACCAAGACAGCACTACGTCTGCCTCCCTTCATGACGGAGGGACGCCGGGCACCCTCAAACGCACATCTGTCAAAGCAACGCAGAGGGGCGCGCACCTGCGAGTATATATATGGCAGGCAGATCTGCGCCTGGCGTGGCATCGCCGGTGTGACTCGAGGAAACGACTGCCGGCGTGCACGCGCGCTGGGTCAGGTCGAAGTGTATTGGCGCCTTGAGTATGGCATATAGTAATGTTCCTACATGAGACGCATCTCATAATTATCATGTTTACACCAGTCACATACCTTCGTCATGCATTCACGTGACTTAATACAAAGTTTGGCATATGTAAAGCTGGCGCATCATGAGTGAGGCATGTAGTCTTGTTCGTACATGACACGCATGTCATATTGATCATGTTTGAACTTATCATTTAGCTATGTCGTTCGTTCACATAACGTAATATCAAATTTGGTACATGTGAAGCTGGCGAAACGGCCACGAGCGCATCATGAGCGTAGCATGTAGCAATCTTGGTATATGACACGCATCTCACGTTTATCATGTTTGCACCAGTCACATACATTCGTCAACCATTCACGTCCCGTAATACAAACTTGGTATATGTAAAGCTAGAAAAACGGCTGAGAGCCCATCATGAGCGTGGCTTGTAGTGATGTTGTTACATGACACGCACCTGATGAATATTATGTTTCACCAGTCACATATCTTCGTCCTCAATAGGCGTACCGTATTACCAAATTTGGTATATGCGAAGCTAGCGAAACGGCAGCGAGCGCATCGTAAGTGTGGCATGTAGTCATGCTGTTACATGACACGCATGTCATGATTTTCATGTTAGGGTCGGTCACCTGTGTTCGCGATGCAGTCATGTCTTACCATACCAGTTTTGAAACACGTCAGGTGAGCGAAACCACTGCAAGAGCAGCAAGATAATAAAATGTAAATCATGACACTTATGACAGTCACGTCATGATTTTCACGTTATGACTAGCCATGTATGGTCGTCATACAGTTATGTTATGGCATACCAAGTTTGGTATCGATATCACTGTCGAAACGGCCAGGAGAGATAAAAGTAAACAAACAGACAGACAGACAGAAAGACAGACAGACAGACAGACAGACAGACAGACAGACAGACACACAGACAGACACACAGACAGACAGACAGACACACAGACAGACACACAGACAGACAGACAGACAGACAGACAGACAGACAGACAGACAGACAGACAGACAGACAGACAGACAGACCCTAAGTCACCGAAGTTCGCTAGGAAATCCTTCGAATTTAAAATTTAGGGGTCTTTATCAGGCAACAAGCTTCGAACTAGATATATCTCAAGAGGTAGATAGGAGGCAACTACAAAATAAGTCAATCTCCCATTGCATCCTATTTAAGAGGATGTACCCAGATGTCTATCCAGATGATAAGCCCATATTGTGTGGCTTGACTCGCGTATCACTAAGGCACATTCTCTGGTAATGTGCAGTTTTAGCAGAATAAAATTCAGTCTTTCAGATTGAGGCTGCATCGCGGTGAACGGCTGCGTTGCGCAGCTCCCAATTCCATCATCAACTGCGGGCCGTCCAGCAAGTCCGCAAGGCGGCGAGGAGACAAGGTCTCCGGTCCTCTTTAGCAGCGCCCTAGGCCCAGGCCACGAATCGGCCGGGGTTATTAATAAAGTTGTTACCACCACCACCGCCCCAACAAAGGCAAACACATATGCCCTACCGCCCTTCTTTCTCCTCTCATTCTCCTCACTTTCTCTTCAAAGCCCCTCGCTTTACTACACCATACCTAAGTATGGTATGCTTTGCCCTCTCCCATCTAAGATGATACGTGGGGTTTAACGTCCCCAAACCACGATATAATTACGAGAAAGGCCGTAGTGGAGGGCTCAGGAAATTTCGACCACCTGTGGTTCTTTAACGTGGACCCAAATCTGAGTACACGGGAACTACATAATTTTCACCTCCATCGAAAAATGCAGCCGACACAGCCGGGATTCGAATCCGCGACCTGCGGGTCACCAGCCGGGTACCTTAGCTACTGGACCACCGCGGCGGGGCACCCTCTTACATCTTCATTTCTCTTCCTCTCACCCTCAACTGCGTTTTCTACGCGGCCATACGCCAAGCTTAGACAGCCCTGCTGTTTGGAAACCTGGTGTGACTGGCCATAAAATACCTCGCTGTACTGACGTTCTACAAAACACTACTTGCTTTGCACGCAGGCCGGTGGAGCACTTCTCTAGCCATCCTTGCATGGGCGTGCGCGGGCCTTGCACAAGCTGGCTGTCCGAACGCCACAAGTTTGAGTCCGTGCACGTGCGACTACTACGGCATCAACTGCATGCGAGCCGAGCGTGCAGCGCAGCTGAGACGTGCTTTCAACAGCGTGAACGCGCAAAGCAGCGACCACCGATCATTGTGGATACAGAATACTCCAATCAAGTCCTTCAGGCCCGGAGTACTGGGATTTTTTAGATTCGAGAACGTTCACATTGAGAAAAACGCCAACCTGACTAACTTCACCTTGGGTTCCCTGCTGCTCATGAACAAGGTCGTCACCGTGCTCAGTTTGTATGGCAATGCCCTAGAGACGTTTGAGTATGACAGGTAAGTATACGAGGAGGCTTTCTTGTGCCTGTGTTCTGTTACATCTTCAGAAAATTTCACGGGGTATCTTACGTATTCCCCTAAGACGACTAGAAGGGCGAAAACCATTGTAATTTTCTTCTTGCTCGACGTATAGATTCTCCTCGGCCCCCTTTGAAAGTTTTTGGGACCTAGAGTGGTTTGGCGTTGCAAGCTTCTTGCACGTCGCCTATTCTCTCGCTGCAACCATGGTCCTCTTTTTAAGTGATGGATTCGTGCAATAGCGCAGTAACTTGACGCCGTCGGGGTGTCACAAGTTTTGGTGCCTTCTAACGTTGTGATGATGCCACGTGGTGAGGTCACCACATGATGACCATGGCTTTTCGCATCACTCGTGTCAGCGCCAACGAGGCCAGCGATCACTTTACACATATAAAGAGGCACTTAAGGCTTCCGTCTTAAGAGATCGGCTTAAAGAACACTGAAACAAATAATGCGTTCGCGGCTGAACATAACGTGTGCCAGGCGGGCACTTCTCAAGTTTGAAGAGGGTGTAGAAAATGTTGATAGGTCTTATGCCAGCAAAAAGGAATACCAGTTCACCCTGCGCAGATCTGGATAGGTGGATGTGGTGTCGATCACAGTGGAGGTGCAACTACAATATCAAATTAGGCTTGTTGCACAAGGTCGGACTGGGGTGTGCGCATTGGTTGCGCCGCTTAAAACGAGTGTTTAAAGCTTCCTGAATGCAATGTATTGGTGCCTCCATAAATGTGCCATATGGCACGGTTTTATTCTTACATTTAGCATTGTATTTCTCTCTCTCTCTCTCTCTCTCTCTCACACACACACATTTGCGCCCCTTGAAGAACTTGAGAAGCACAATTTGTTGGGTGACTTGGTAACTCATTTAAACGATGGTCAACGAAAAAAAAAAAAACAATAGCACAGGTGCACGAATTCAGAACACAGCTGACGCTATCAATTGAGAATTTATAGCAACAAGAGACTTATATAAGTGGTTATGTGAACATTTGTTGATGAAACGGGTAGATGAGCAGACAAAAGTTGTCTTAATGACGGGCTTCCAGGAAATCTAACTTCGCAACAAGTAACGCGACCGTGGGTTTCGCGACAGATGCATCATCTGCTTTGTTGATGAACTATGCTTCTGCTATTTCACGTGCTACCATATTCTTGAATCTATATTTGATTGTCGTATCGCCAAAAAAGGGTGCGCAGCCGCATTCACTACTACGTCTAGAAGGATTTGAACGCGGATGTCCTTTCAGTGAAGCCTGGTGATGCATTAGCGTGTCATTTACACAACGTCAATTTTGTCCAACATGAAGCTTGTCACTCGAAAGTGCGATGTCGTACACCACACCAATGGCGCAATCAATGGCACTGTGCCTGACTTGGCACATAACCTCGCCTTGCTCCTCACCCTCGATTGTCTTCGGTGCAGCTATGGAACGCTGCCAGAATGGTGCCCTCTCTGAGGGCTATCGTTTTTTTTTTTTGGTGCACCACCAGTTAGAGTTTGATGAACAACGCAGGCTGCGGAGCTTCACATCGCTGGAGAGCCTCGACCTTGGCGGCAACAAGCTGAGAAAAGTGCCGCCAAATGCGTTCAAAAGCATCCGCCTGCAGAGGCTTTCGCTGAGGGGAAACCCGATCACTGAGATCGGGGCAGCTGCCTTCTTTGGCCTCACCAACCTCACCGAGCTTCTCCTGAGCCAAACGAGGCTTATGAAACTGGGAGGACACTCGCTGTCTTTTATTCGCGCAAACCCGCACCTCAAGGTAAGCAATTCTTTCGGGGTGCTGGTGCGTTCTCGAGCATGGAAGGAAGAAAAATAGGAGGAAAAGAATGGCAGGGAGGTTAACCAGCCTATGGGCAGCCGGTCTGCTACCCTTCGCACGGGAGGGGGAGGGGGGAGATGAACACAATGCGAGAAAGACGCAAGAGCTATAAGCACATATTGTATTGTAGCAAGCGATGTTTATTTAGAGAAAGACGGAAGCGCTTGCCTGAGCGATAGCATGCTCTAGCCTGCTGCTCTACACTGGAGGAGCGGAAAGAAGAGGAGAAAGAGCGATGGACGATAGTGGTCAGTCATAGATATAAAAATATACGGGCTTTTCAAACTGACAAAATGTTATAGCCGTGCATATAGCCCAGTTGCTTTTAAGAAGGTATTACCCCTCCTACGACCTAAGTTGGACTCTTGGTGTCAGGCCCAGGGCCTAACCCAGTATTATCACGCAATGTTCTATGTATTGCAGTGAAACTATCATTTCAGGTAGTCGGTAACAATGCATTGTGTGTGCGAAAATTTTTAGTCCTTGCTCTCTAGTGCGCCCCATTTTTCATGCTTAGGAAACACATGCAATGTATCACAGCTGGACGTGGTATTTTTCATCAGGGAGAACGAAGCTTAACTATGCACCCGCCCTTCTTAAACTACTAATAAAAAGCGCCAAGTAATTTGAAACAACGTACTCATAACCGCATAAAAAAATTGGCGAGTTTCTGAGGCAGATAACATGGTCATGCTTTACTCAATCTAAAAAAATCATAAGAAATCACATCATGCAAGGTAAAACCATGAACGTACTTCATGACCATAGTGGACTTAGCGCAAGTCACCTTAGTCTCTGCACTGTCGGCCCCTAACTAGGTAAAACTCTCAGCGTCATTAATAAATTTGCCTAAGACGACTAATAGGCGAAAGGAATCCTTTCATACACATGTAGTTGTCCAACACTGACCATCCCCGGCTCCGCTTCTAAATCTTTCTACACCGAACGTGGAACGTCACTGCCTCCGTGATCGGTGCACCCTTTACCGAGTGACTATGTCCTGTGATGACGTCATTATTACACATCGTAGTGAATCCACGATGACCTCCTAGTGATGTCTTGTGGAGAGGTCATCACGTGATTTTTTCGTTTGCATGAGTCACGATCTTGCCGACAGTCAATTGTCACGTTTCATGAGGCGTCTAAGGCTCTCACCTTACAACAAATCTATAGGAACAGAAAATAAAGAAGTCTTCAATTGTATCACAATAAATGCGAAGCAGCTTATGGCGAGGGCTGTGTCGGTCAAACACTTCCTCCCATGGCGTTCACCCCTCCGCTGCGCAAGCGTGGTCCCTAACCCCCTCCTCTCTTAGGCTCCTCCCTCTCTCCCGAGTCGGCGGTGAAGGCAACGATATGTTTATACAGTAGTGCGACGTTCTAGTGCGGATTCGCGTCTCCTCTCTCGTCTGCATCTCTTCTCTTACACTCTCCCTCTCTCTCCCGTGTCAGTGGTGAAGGCAACAAAACTTGAACGTCAGACTTTTTTTTTTTTTGCATAGAATTCGGACATGACTTTCTAAGGGCGTTGACGAAGCACGCACTAACTATTCCTTTTTTTATTAGTTTTGAGCAAGCGTAATGAATAGAAAGTCGTGATTTTCCGCTCATAGTTTCAAAAAATCAATATACATGTTCACTATAGAGGCATGGCTTGAAGTCTAAAAAAAACCTTTGAGAACTCCTTCAAGATTTGTTGTCATCGCTGTGCATGCGTCGCCTTTCTTTGACCACATCTCCTTTTGCAGTGTGGTTCATCTAATGTTTACAAAGCGAGACATCAATTACTGTAAAGAAAAGCAACAAACGAACGCAAAATAAACTAGAAAAGGTATAGTGTTCGAAAATATTTGTATGTAAAGGCCACTAACTAAACAACTACAGTGCAACAGAAAATGAAAACGCCTGACAAATGTTTATTTAACGTAAAGACTGTATGCAAAAAAAAAAAGAAAAATCGTGGCATATGCTTTAAGTGTCTGATGAAGAGTGGGCGAAGCAGTGGGATAATTCGGTGTTACCGTAAATAACCCGTGATATTCACAAATCATGTATGAAAATGATGCTAAGCGGTTTACAGTTATATACGATATTTATTGGTCATAACTGGTATGTTGAGTTTCGCCTCGTTTTGTTTTGCCTTCTTTATTACTGCTTTGTGCTATCAGATATAGCCTGAAGTTGGCAAAAACGAGGTCTGGACGTGTTCTCCTGGTGCTCTTTAGTTGTTTTTTGTCATACAAAATGGATCGTAGAGCACTTCAAGACGTCATATACCGCACAGGCTAGTCATTGTCCGTGATCATCAACGTCTTCAGCATCATCGGGTCGCCATGGCATATAGCGCGTACCTTTCACGTGCTGTGCCATGATCGTAGAAAGAGAATGTATCGTCTGGGACGCGCTTGTTCTTCATCGTCATTAGCATCATCGTTATCGCCAGCGTCGGCTACGGCGTACAACGCCAACGCCAACATCAAATGACAAGCCTCGACATTAAAGAACTTCTAGCCCAAAAAATAATACAGGTCAGCGAAAATCGAAGAAAATGTCGATTTATTCTCGCACCTACGTTTGTCGTCAACAGATTGACCTCTCGCGTTCTGCGATCAAGACCATCGAAAGCACCGCCTTCGACGCAGCGATGCCCCTGGAGGTGGACCTGTCCCACAACAAGCTCACCGAGCTGCCGAGGAAGCCCTTCGAAGGACTGATCATCCGCATGATTTCGAACGCACGGGGACGGGAACTTACACCGGTCATCAAAGTCGAAGGTAATTCATCTTTGCCCACTGGCTAACCTTGAACTGTTAAGAAGTGTGGAATTTTGATCATCGTCGAATGCACCGACAAGCGTGTAATGGCCTCTTCATTAACTCTGGAGCAATTTAACGTGAGATTGCCCTTTCATCGTATCGCGTGTCAAGCTGATGCCACACAGTTTGTTCGTTATACTCACGTAAGCACGATTGTCTATTGAACGTCGAGACAAATTTGGGCAACACAGCTCGAATAAAGATAGGAAGAGACGAGAAGACAATAGGATCGACCTAGCAACTGAAGCAGCTTGCTGACGCGAGAAATATAGCGTTACCTTTTCTGATATCCAGCCTTCCTTTTGTTTGCACAGTGTTGTATGTACAGTCAAACACAATTACATAAAACTTGGCTGAACCCAATTATTATTTGTACGAACGATTCTCGAAAAAAAACGCAATATTTTAGCTTCAATGAAAAAAAACGTAGGTCTACGTCCAACAACAACAATAAATGGATCACTCTGTGAACCGAACATCGTGAGATGCCAAAAGCCCCAAACACTGGTTTTCCCTCGTAAGGGGTTGTTTTTGTTTCACGGAAAGCCACTACCCTGGATACATTTAGGAAAATGGCCCGTATAAATAGAAGGACCGTATCCATACCGCATATCTCGCCTACAACACGCCATGGCCTCTAACTTCGCAAACAACAAACAGTTCAAAGAGAAGAACTAATAAAAAATTGGCAGATTCCAGGTACAGGTGGAATCTATGGTATGCGAAGCACGAATGATGAAAGCTGATATGTAAATTTAAAACCAATAAAACGTTATGAGGCGGACGTAAGTTACGCCATACATGACTTCCATCTCATAATTATCATGTTCGGAAGGGGCATTCACCTTCATCGTCTATCCACATCACGCGATACCTAATTTGGTACGTGTAGAGCTAGCGAAACGGCCGTGGGCACGCTATGAGCATATAACCTAGTCATGTTTTACATAACCCGCATATCTCTATTGTTATGTTTCCATCAGTCACATATCTTCGTCGCCCATTCACGTCCCGTAATACCAAATTTGGTATATGTGAAGCTAGCGAAATGAGCGCGATAGATAAATACATAGATAAATAGATAACTATATAGATAAATAGATAAATATAAATATATTGATAAATCGATAAATAAATAAATAGATAGATAGATAGATAGATAGATAGATAGATAGATAGATAGATAGATAGATAGATAGATAGATAGATAGATAGATAGATAGATAGATAGATAGATAGATAGATAGATAGATAGATAGATAGAATGCCACCTTAAACGTAGTACACATCCTGCGCTGGCTCGTCAATGAGCCTTCCTACAGAAATGGGCTCACCAAGAAACGCCCCGTGAACCCTCCGAGCAAGCTCCTCTAACATCATTGACTTTGTTTGATATGGCGGGGATATTTATGGGTGAAGCTCTTCAGGGTCGACCGATGTCCCCTGTCCGTCCGTGTAACACGCTATGGATATCCATATTCATATGGATAGCCATATGGACATGCATATGCGTATGGATATATAATAATGAGGAATTCAACATGAGTATGTCCGCATTGTCCACATGAGTATGTCCACATGAGTGTGTCCGCATTGTCTACACGAGTATGTCCGCAACAACAACATGTCCGCATTGCATTGTGATTAATTAGCGACTTTGTATATACTGTACGCAGGTGTTGTCACGCCTTTGCATGATCGAGTTGGCAATTTTGCGGGTGTTAATGATAACCCGGAGCTTCGCCCACTCGTCATCATTCACTTCCAGAATACGCTGCGATCCTTTTACACTTCATTCTTCTTCTAACGTACTTCTTTTCTTAACATTCCAGGCAATCCTCTGACTTGCATGGGCTGCTCGTACGTGTGGATCATCGAGTCTAGGAAGCGGAAACGTGTACGCATTATCGAAGGATTCAAATGTCCCGATGGTCTGAATGCGACCAGCCTCACCCGTCAGAGAATCAAGTGCAAGCCTCCTGGGAGCATCGCCACCATCGGCTAAGTTATGCAAAACGCGCACACATGACGTCACTTGAAAATTAAATGAAAATTGCCCGGAACCATTTCCGACATAGAAAACAGAAAAAAAAGTCATATTCGCCCAAGAACCACAGCGCACCTGTCTTTTACATGCGTGAATCATTCGCACTAGTTGGTTCTCGTTGAACCGAGAACTTTTTCGTGCGTGCGAATATTGTTAGCACTGTTGTACACTGCATGCACCGGCCTGGCTTAATATCTTCCTTCCTTGCTTCTTTTCTTTGTCTCCTTTCGTTCTTCTCTTTTGCTCTTGATTCCTTGCTCTTTTTTTTTCTTGCTAACTTTTCTAATCCTTTCTTTTTATCCTATTTTTTTTCTTCTTTCTTTACTTTCCTCCTTTCATTTTTTCTTGCATGGGTTGACATCATGTTCTCATCTAGCTTGCAAAAAATGGTATTCTTACGCACGTTCTTAGCAGCCAACACTTTTGTTGCTACCGGTCACAAGTATGGTCATTCCTGAAATAATTAAATTCAACAATGAAAAACGTCAAGGAAATCTCGCAACGTAAAACTCCAAGCGATGTCAACAAAAGATCAGATTTCTATATAGTTGTAAATGTGTAAAGAAAGTTACTTCGCATGTGCTTGCCCATTGATTGTTCGTGCAATGACATAAACGTCGAAATCGTGCGCTTTTGAAGTCAGCCACTTTTGAAATCATCAACTGTGTCCCTACTGCAAAAAAAAAATAAGAAACACTACTCCGTATCAGCGTAAATTGAAACTGACACAATGAGATCTACAACTCAAAGGGCATGCTCATCAACGGTTTTTGTTATTGTCGGCCCCGTTTTCCGGAACTTGTCGTAGAACTACCTGAGCAACAGAATCGAAAGTTGGGCTAGTTGAATATGCATGGTTTATTCGTGCGCTTGAACTGACAGTTATACCTGAGCAACTCAACGCGACGCGTGAACAGCGCGAGTCGTAAAACATCATGGTGCAGAAACACACAAACACACACAAAAAAAAACGATCACCCAGGAACAGACAAGCAGAGATCGCCAGCGCACGGATCGCGAAGCCAGACAGGTAACTTTTTCACGCATTTCGAAACCAGCCAGCTGGCAAAAAACACGCAACACCAACAACACCTACCAACAGTTGTTTTCTTTCATCGCGAAACAGATAGCGGGAAAGCCGCTGTCCCTCCAAAGCATCTTGATCGTATTCCGCATTTATATCGCGTGCAAGCGAGTGAACCTGCGATGCTGCATCGGCTCTTGATAATGAAACGAATTTCTTGACCCCACCTTCATGGGTATTCCTGGAAGAATTGACCGCATTTTCGTTGCCGTTCATGCTGCAGTGACATGAAAGACACTGGATTTCTGATGGGTTTCTCTTCATGCACGAACTAGTTGTTCTTGTACACGAAGACGTAAAGGGGACTACGAATACTGCAAAGTTGACTTGGAGTTTGTGATTATGCCTCATTTTTGTGTGGACTAGTTGTATCCGGCGAAGCGCACTGCGAAGTCCCGCTAGCTTCAGAGCAGTCAATGTGGTCGCAATAGACGTTCAGAAATGAAATGTTTCGCCTTGTGCTCTGAAAAAGAATATGTACAACCTAGACTGACCATACCTTGATGGGTAGAATTTGTTTTCTTTAACTGCGCTCTGTGTCTCTCTCGCCAATAGAGCGAGTCAGTTTACTTGGAGCTGGATAAGTAGCTTGCATATGTACGCGGGTACAAAAGTTTTTTTTGAACGGGAAATGGGAGCGATGCCATATAAAACACACTACTTTTCAACTCGTGTGCCGCAGCCAGGACTCGCGAGCAACTGCAGAGTATTAGCCTGCTGAATCAACGTGGTCAAAGAAAACAGGTGACTATGACGTCATCATAACTTGATGCAGCGTGCTCAGGGAAGTATAGGAGTCCCCAAGAGTCCCCCATCGAGGGTGTCAAAGCACAATGGGGTCAATTGTTCACGCAAACTTCAAAATATTTTAAGTACATTCCAACCTATATCCGCTGTTTGCAGATATACGTACGTGGACGGGTGTCGATTCTGCGGGAGGTCTCGTAGATATGTGGTTATCAGTGGCAGCTCAAGCAAAGATTGCACACTGCGAGCAGTGTGACTCAGGCTCCTGTCATGCTGGTACACGAGACAACCATCCTTGAACGGCCCATTCAAGACATAAGGAAGCAATTCTTTCTCTATTATAAGGGAATACGTGGAGGCTGAAAGGTTCTCATCGATAAGAACCAGTGGTGCAAGTCCTTCCCTGGTCATGGCGGCCCAGCCACTCACAGAGCATCGGCCTCTGGCAAAGGCCGACTTCGTGTACTGTGGTGAATACCTGGTGAGGAAGGAAATGCTGGATTGGTTACACGGATTTATAAGAACGACAATGGCACATAGTCACTTTATCCCCCGAACAATTTCGTCTTACTTGAAGATCCATGTAATCAAATTATAATTATGCGAGATCGCCAAGATGGTGCGAAATATTCGACATGTTGATAAGGCACCCTCAGTGCGTTCCAGAAGACTTTGCAAACTGAACTGTATTTTTCTAAGGTAATGAGGTACAATATACAAACATTGGCTAAGGTGCTTAAGTTTGGCGAGCTGCTCACGATAAGAAGTAACACAGCTTAAAGAGAATCAAAGCTAAGCAACGTTTTACAGCAAGTTCGAAGACAATAAAGTGCTGGGCTTTACTTGCCTTAACCACAACGTAAGTAAGGCGCACTGTAGTGGGTGACCTGCCATTAATTTTTACCAGCTGTGGTTACTTACCTTGTGCACTACTCTTTCTACACATTCAATGATAAATAGTACAAGGATGACAATATAGTAGAAGACAAATCGCAAATGTTACCTCGAGTTCACTGGACACCATACTCGCCGTTCCTGATTCCAGCTACTTAAAAACGTTGATTCATCGCTGAACACGACTTCTCCCCACTCTCCTGATCCCCATGTCTGCACAGAACGCGCAAACTGCAGTCGCATGGATCTGTGCCTGTCCGTGACGAGGGGCTTCTGGGCCGCGACGCAGTTGGCAAGTTCTGCTTCTGCCTACCTCCTACGGATAGTCCAGACGGACGCGTTGAGATGCAATGCATCTTTTATGCATTTCGCTGTTATATAAGGATCAGCTACTACGGCGGTGATAATTAGCCTGTCCACTTCGTCATCTGTGCATCTTGACCTTCCAGCATGGTCTCTGTCACTGATCCCCCCTGTTTGTCGGTACGCTTGGATGGCACGACTCGCCGCATTTCTTGACCTTTGAAGAAGCCGGCAGATGACCCGCTGAGGAAAGCCTTGGATGCTTAACTCTACGATGCGTCTCCTTCCATCAGCTGGTACTCGTGGCGACATTTTTGAAGACGAATGTGGGGGCCTTGAAACCCCCGATCTTATACTCTTTCGATAATGGTACTGTCCAATAGCTGTCAAATAGCTGGGCTGTGCCGCGATATGCCGCCATTCAACATTTGCTGTAAGAGATAATGCTTATCGTCACCAAGCCCGAAAGACCACGAAACAACGCAAAGAATCGACAAAAATGACAAAATGGTACTTTGCCTACGTCGCAAGCACGCGTGAACCTTCTGAGTGTCCACTTTTTCTGAGAGAGTTATAATAAAGAATCACATTTCCACGCATTGAGTAATGTGTACAAAAGGAGCGGTGTGCCGCCATGCGAGGTATTTGGTGGAACAGCTTAAGGAATTAACTTTTGTTTCCTTGTGGGGCCTCCAACATTTGAGCACTTCGAATTGAAATGTGCTCGCCTGTAATTCACTGGACTATTTTACAAATTAACGTGACCAGAATACCAGAATACACGCTGATGCTCGAGCGCCGGATGTTAATGGAGGCAGTCTCAATTCCCGACTACTTCGCGTTCGAGAATGTTCCGTGCATATGTCATGGGTAGAGTTCTATTGAAATACTGAAAGCGGTAACGCCCCTTTCAACCTTTGTGATTTTTTCTGGTTTCCGGAAAAAAACATTCCCAGATACCCCCAAATATGAAAAGACTCGAAAGTGAAAGCCTATGACTTCTCTTGCACGTCTCAATCCGCATTAATTCACGCTTACTTGTCTTAATTTACTGTAATGCATCCAAATGATGGGTTTACTTCAATCGGGGTTGATGGTTCGAGTAGTAGAAGACGACACATGAACATCTGAAATTCGAATCCTAGAAACTCTTGGGTCGAGGCTCGACTCCTACCAATAATACGTGCGGGCTCTCGACGTGACAGAACCACAATATAGAGAGAGAAATAAATTTTAATATATAGATATGACATAGAGCTCCATCGAAGTAACGTCTTGGGAATTTTAGCTCATTCGGGGTTCCTCAACGTCCACTCAGTGTACTAGTTTCAAGTATCTCTCCTCTGTCGAAATACGGCATGCGCGACTAGACTTGAAGATGCGTCTTTCGGGTCAGCAGCTGAGCATCGAAACCACTGCACCACCGCAGCGGCCTTCGAAAGCACTGCACCACCGCAGGGGCCTTAATAAAGGATTTATCCTTAATAAACCGAGTTTGTTTTCACCTTCCTTCCTCGGCTCTTTTCTGCAGCTGTTGGACGTTTGGTGGTTTGATGCATGTTCATAGACACATGATATTTGGACCGAGTATTACTACGTGCGTTAGTTCGGCGAATGAGAGTGCAAAAGGCAACATTGTGGGCTGAGCTTATTGAATGCCTAACTCGACATTCAAATTGTGATCACGCCGCGGATCGCCTAGGAGTGACGTGCACTATGTGCACCACGCCGAAACCCGCAAATGATGTGCTGTCGTTGCATTAGCGCTCGGCTTTTTTCATTGTCTTCACAGCGACTACAGAAGTGACACCTTGCACCATCCGAATCGTTTCGAGATGCCCGCCCTTGAAACAAGCGGAAGGGCAGGCTGCCGGGTGATATGGGTCGAGCGTGTGCAGTACGCTCTCCCGTACAGAGCCGTGCATCCGCCAGAAGGCGCAGCGACGCGCCTCAGCACGCGCTCGCGTGGTCTCTAAAATTATGCACTCGACTGTACTCCACACACACGTGAACCTTATTTTAAGTGCGCTTGCATACTTCGCAGGAACCGCAGCAAGACTTCTCGCGAGCTCTTGGAGGCAGGCTTCAGTAAAATTACTTTTGGGTGTCTTGCTTTCTTGCCTCTAAAACACATCGTGAACTTGTGGAACACCGCTGGGGAGAGTTCTGTAAACTTTGATCGTTCGGTATTCTTTAATGAGTGAATAAATAAAGTGTACGAGACTCTTGTAATTTGGCCTTCATCGAAAGTGCGGTCACCATGGTCAGAATTCCACTCCGTGACCTACGCGTCAACGATCAAGCGCCATAAATGCTTGAACACCGTGTCGATGCACGCTTCTTTTGAAAGAAGAGATCAACGTGTACGAGCCATATATCTCTGTAACGCTCAGTAATACTGAGACGCATTAGCTTGAAGCACACATTAAAAAGACGGTCGCTTGTTTAATCCCGGCCATGGTAGGACCGAACCCGTCGGTGGAAGCAAAATGTGAGTTGCTGGTGTACTGTGCCATAGAGTTCTCTAAACTTAACTAGAGGGGACTCTGGCGCTGCGATCGTTCAGATACCATGGGAATGATGGGTAGTACACACATTTGCCTAGGCTTCTTACTTGCGGACGGCGAATCATACTTGCGGCTTCGTTTATTGCTGTGTTTCGGTTTTGTATTGAAAGAAAGATTGAACCCTTTTGAACTTCGTGACCCGATTGGGAAAGGTAAGTCTAAAAAATTAAGATGGTGAAGCGCAACCGCTGAACATTTGCTAAAATTTGTGTTCTGAGAAACCAGCTCCAAACCACATGAACACGCACGGAGCCAAAAGCAGGCCAGAAATACGAGTATTAAAGAAATGCGTGTACTACCAATCATTCCCACGCTCGCTGAAGCGCCGTACGTTGCAGCTCCCATAGATACTAGCGCCAGAGTTCTCTCTATAATGCATATTAGGAAACTATGTACTGTGCAATGCACGTGCATGTTAAAGAACACAAGATGGCGGAAGTTTTTTGAGCGCTACACTATGCCGCAGTTGATAATCATATTGCAGTTCAGGCACGTAAAATTCCAGATATTGTTACGTTTAGTATTACTTTAAAGGGACACTAAAATGAGAAATACTTCATTTAGATTGACAAACTGCCTTCTCAGGACTGTAATGTCGCATGTTTTACAATTATCAGTTTATTTTTAACGAAGAAAATTCAAGCAGATTTTTTTTCAAATATCGCACCGAAATGTTCGCGTGTGACGTCAAAAATTTCAAAATGTATTGAAAGTTCTGATGAAATTTTGTAAAACTTTGAAATCTAGGTCTATGTCACCAAGAGATGACAATGTATATACTTCATTTTCATCTGTTAGAAGCTATACCTAGAACCCAGAAGACGTCTTCAATATCTATAACGTCACTGAGGTTTCGTGCGGGGTCTCAACGTCTCTTTTTTTTTAGGCGTCGTGTCGCGGTGAAATGGTGTTTTTGGCATCCTGGAATTGTACTTTACGAAGGAGCGAAAGATAATTTTGCTCGTTAGAGTCAGTTTAAAAGACAAAAGACGCATGAACATTGTTCGACACCCCTTGGCTCCCTGCTGTGACAATGACTCTTTCATAGTTATCACAATTCTAGGTGGCTGCCCCACGCACCACAGCGTCATGCCCTTTCGTCTCGTTACGTAGAGGTAGCGCGAGGGGTGTGATTAGCAAATGCCCCCCCCCTCTCTCTCCATACATATCATTGCCTACTCCTCAGCGGTGACAGGGTTCACGGACATGAGGAACAATGGAATGCTATAACGTATCTCGAGAAGATACGATTGCGCTGATGCGTGTGCAGCTGCCTAACCTCTGAAAGAACACGCTCCCATTCACATCAACCTCGATATCACCAGAACGTGCATTCGCATATGAAAAAAAAAAACAACGAACTCCTCAATCACAAGTGCACAGTAATTGTCGTGTCTATCGCTGACAAAAAAAAAGAGAGAGAGACTGACGATAATAGATCTGCAATGTACATCGTCAGTCATCAGCATTGTCGATGCATTTGAAGCCGTCTCACCAGCAGCGACGGATTTCTACTTATCGAAGATCGTTAGACTGGTGCGGGTATCGTAACGTCGTACAGCAATATGGGTGAGTGGCACGATCTCACGAGCGCTTCAAGTGAGGAGCGCTAACGGAGGCCGGAATGTCGTATGCTGAAGAACAGTATGAGGTTGGAATAGCTTGTAATTCATCTCCAACAATCAGCATCGAACGGAGGTGCCGCAGAATGGTCTGTGTTCCCTCTTAGTCCCTGGTCTGTACTGCGATGGTTGTTGAACGTGTATGCTGTCGTCGACTCATGTAGCTTTGCGTAACGCTGGCGAAACCTCGTGTAGCATAGCTATTCGTAGAATGATACTCTTCCTCTTATTCTTAGGGCGCCTTGATGATGATATCAAGTGCAGGGTGTTTTAGGGGCCTAGGAGGCCGTCTAATAGTGTCGTTGCTAGGCGTAAGGTGGGCAACAGAAAAAAGAAAGGGAAGCAAGCCAGAAATTGAAAGAGAGGAAAAAAGGGATAAAGTAGGTACAAAAATAGAAATTATCTGAAATGAAGAGAAGAAAATGCAGAAAAAAAACTCGAAAATAGAAAAGCAAGAAAAAGAGAGGAAAAGAAAGAGAAAGCTGAAGAGAAGAAAAAAAAGTCGGCCCAGCTCCTGACTCGCTTCGCCCCACTACTGGGAACCAGCATCAACGTTTTTGAGGCCGAGTGGTGCACCTCGTTCACTACATGCGTACCTTGACACTGTTAACGAGGTGAAAGCGTGAAATAAACTAGGTGGTCTAGAATGGAAAAACTACAGGTGCCTACTTGCAAATGAGGCTTGCTGAAAAAAAATATACACAAAAGAAACAGTGGTGCCGAAGGTCAGGATCTGCCCATGCGATGGTCCTCATTCCTCCCCCACGCCCCTAAAACGAGAGTTCAATAGAGGGGAGTAAGCAAGATCGCCCACATAGGGTAAGGTTAAAGTGGCCACAGCAGCAAACCCGGGGTGTACCTCAGGGGTCAGTACTTTCCCCGGTTTTATTCAACATATTGCTTAGTACCATCCCCGTTCATCCAGAAGTGAAAACCTATGTTTATGCCGATGACATTGCTTTCTTTTCTATGGCACATGACTTCCACTGTCTCTACACTATCTTGCAAACATATCTTGATAAAATAGAACATTGGTTGGATGGATTGATGTTGAACCTGAATACCGGTAAATGTGCTATTCTCGTTTTTCCAATCAAAGATCCCGTGCACATATCTATTAATTACAAGCTTCAAGATATCCCACAAGTACAATCATTGAAATATCTTGGAGTTATGTATAATGAGCATCTAAATTGGCGCCCTCACATTGAATACATCGCGACAAAAGCAGTACGCGCGATGGGTGTATTGCGGAGGTTGAGCAATTGTAGATCAGGTATGAGAAGAAAGGCACTTTTGATTATATATAAAATGTATGTCCGACCTGTGTTGGAGTTTGGCTGCATTCTTTTTTCTGGTGCGCCAGCCTACAAACTTCGGCCGCTCCTTCTGTTGGAAAGAGAGGCTTTACGGCTCTGCTTAGGACTTCCAAAGTATACTGCAAATGCAGTGTTATACCTTGAAGCACGAATACCAACCTTATTATGTCGCTTTAACATTCTTACTGTGCAGACCTTTTTACGACTATATGAAGCACCGTTTAACCCTGAACAAATTATTTTTATTTCCAATCCTGACCTATTCTTCTCCGTGCATTGGCCCAGATTTACCAAACCACAAATAGTATTTGTTCAATCGTTACTTGAGCCTCTAAATGTACACGTTCGTGATCTGATTCCTTTAACTGAGCAACAAAATTCTCCAGAAATCGTTTACCATGATATCTTCCCAACTCACGCAAAGCTATTGCCTACAGGCATTTTAAATGGTTTATTGCAGGACCATTTAAGTACTCTGCCAACAAATGTCATTATAGCAACGGACGCATCTCAATCACTTGAAAAATCAGGCGTTGGAATATATTGCCCCGCACTTGATTGGTCATTTTCACTTCGCTTACCGGACTTTCTTCCTGTCTTTCTGGCTGAATTCATGGCAATAATGTTAGCTTTGCGAAAGGTAAATATTTCCATTCCAGTTGTAGCAGTCATAACTGATTCATTATCAGTGTGCTCTTCTCTGTCCGCATCTGGTCACTCACCTATAGTGAAACTTTTTAAATCGTTGATCCCCTGTCATCTCCGAAGTATTCATTTAATCTGGACACCAGGGCACAAAGGTTTGTTGTTAAACGAAATAGCTGATTCTCTTGCGAAGGCATCCCTTTCGACACCAATTATTCCTATTTTCCCTCATACAGTATACATTACGGTGGCGCGATTTCGCACACTTAAAATCAGGCAAAATTTATCTGACCCTGCACTGACGGCTTCTCCAGAGTACAAACACTTGTTATTTCCCTGGCGCAGTGAACTGACTAAATCAAGGATGATGGAAGTTGTCATCACGAAATTTCGTTGCCGCGTTACCTCCCTCAATTTTTACTTGCATAGATCAGGCATATTGAATTCCCCTATGTGCATTTACTGTAATCAAGAGGAAACGATCAGTCATTTTTTATTACATTGTCGCCGTTTAGATTCATTCAGGCAAAGCATACTAGCACCACCTCTTCAAAGACTCGGCTTGCAACTATCACAACCTGATCTTCTTTCGTTTGGAGCCTCTACACTAGGTTTCAGCCACAGGGATGTTTTATTCGCCGTTCAAGAATACATCACTGCGACTAAACGATTTTCTTGCTAAATTGCTGTCTCACTATTTTTATTAATTTTTTTCTGCAAACGTGATATTGGTATTTCAAATCAAAATTAAGTTACAAAAAAAAATTGCAGGAATGAAGCAATGCTGAAAGTTTAGGGCAAATTCACCCTATAATCGGCCAATCCCCTTCTTTGGGTACGAGCCATTTGCACAGGGAAACAACAACAACAACAACAGCGGCGTACCTGTGACTAAAGAAAAAAACATGATTTTGCGCTTAGAGTCGCAGATTGCTTGCTCGCGTAGGAACGTTTAGCGCTCTTTCCTCATTATTATTGCAACACCAATTAGCGCTAACTATTATAATCTACCTCAAAGAAATCTGAAATAGCAATGTGGTAAACTGTAGTGCATGATAATGGCGTAAACAATGCATTCACGGATTCATCCAGGATGCCATAGAATAATACTAATGCGATTGCTACAATGCACTCACGCCGTAATCGAGGTAAGTGATTTGAGGTGTATCTATAACTTATGAAAACTGCGGTGACATAAAGCTCAATACAAGAACACGTCAAAATTGTGGCGTTTTAGTTTTTAAAGGGACACTAAAGAGTAAACCAATTTTTCGTGTAATAGTAAAGTACAGTTTCACAAGCCAGAAAACACCACTCTTACCGCACGAAAAGTGAGGTGGTGACACCACCTTGAGATTACCGTATCAAACACTATGACTTAAAATTTTATGATGGCGTGGGCTGGGCCCTAATCAGGTTCTAATCAATAAAAAGGAAGTATATTTTAATCTGTGGTTCCCATAAACTTAGCAGGTGAAGCTTCGGAAAAACTTCATACAGCCAATGCCACGAAAAAAGCGAAAATACATTTCGGAAAGTTCTTACGTCACGTGAGGAGATCATGGCGCAAAATTTGAAAATGAAACTTCAGCCTTCGCTTCCGGCGCTAATAATGAAGCAATGATAGTGATACATTCGACAACATAATTCTCAGAATAAAGTTCATCAATTTAAACCAAGTCATTGTTTCTGCTTAGTATAACTTTAAGTGCATAAGCATTTACATACCTGCTTAATGAGCAAACTGACGATCCTTCTCTCTTTCCCTTAGCAAATGTAGGAAACGGACTAAACCTTCCCGGAGGGAGCTGGGTTTGAACTCAGCGCCGTGCTCCGAAGGGAAGTGCTTTCACTGCTGGGCTACTCACCTGCGCTTGCCCAATGGCTATATCTGAACCACCTGAGTGCATTGTAGCTGCGGTGAAAAACACTTGTAAAAAGAGAAGGAGTGAAGGAGTTCTGTAACTGCCACGTTTAATATTATGGTCGGGAAAGAGAAGCCCTTTCAATGAACTAGAAGCTAAATTGTTATGGCAAATTTTCGCCATCAGAAAAAGCAAAAATTCGATGTGAAACTCGCGTTTATTTCGTCACCCAACATGCCTTTTGTTAGGACGTTCGGGGAGCTGACTAAAGATAGAAATACGATAGATACGTCATGCTGATACCATCCGGAAACAGTCTTCAAGACACCAGGTTGTTATCATGCTTTCCTGTGCTGTCTGATTGTGTGTAATAGTTCGACATCATTTCCATGACGGGAAGACGTCGTCAAAATTTTGGTAATCCTCAGCATGAAGCAATTATGTGTTAAGCCTCAATGCGCCTTTACCATCTTTCTTATCATTGCGATTAGCAGAATGCCATGATGTGCAACAACTTCTCAGTGTCATTGGTACCTCAAACCACCCTGTTTATTGTTCTTGAAATTAGTGAACATGCTAATACCACCTAATGGCACTCGCAGGTAAATGGAACATTCCTCTCCTGATTTTGGCTTCGGCGTGCGTGAGCCACGTTCTAGCAAACTGTCCGGACCCGGCTCGACTCAGTCCGTGTACGTGCGACCACTTCGGCGTCAACTGCATGCGCGCCCGAAACACGACTCAGTTGACACAAGCCTTCAAGAGCGGCGACGCCATGACCAGCGAGCACAAAGAGTTGTGGATTCAGAAGACTCCGATTACGTCCTTCCCTAGCGGCGTACTAGGAGAGTTCAAGTTTGAGAAGGTTCACGTTGAGTCGAACGTCAACATGACCTCATTGAGCTTGGATGCTTTGATGCAGTTTAGAGAGCTTTTAAGACTGCTCAGTGTCTACCGAAACGCTCTTCGGACGTTCGAGTTTGATAAGTAAGTACAAAAAGATACACTATTATTGCGAAAATTTAGCGTATAACAGTTTTTAGACCGCAAGAATTTTTTTTTTATTCTAGGGAGGGTGCAGAAGGGAGAAATCACGTCGTTAAAATAGCTAAAACGAATTTTACCGTACAGTCTGACATCTGCACACACACAAAATGCAACCCTCACAGGCCAGAGTGACACTTGCAGAACACCATGTGAGTGAGTGAATTAGTGAATTAGCGAGCGAGTGAGTGAGTGAGTGAGTGAAATAGTGAATTAGTGAGATAATGTATGAGTGAATGAAATAGTGAAATAGAAAATGAGTGAGTAAATTAGTAAGTGATTGAATCATTCAGTGAGTGAAAGAGTAAGTGAGTGAGTGAGTTAGTGAATGAGTGAGTGTGTGAGTGAGTGAATGAGTGAGTGAGTGAATGAGTGAGTGAATGAGTGAGTGAGTGAATGAGTGAGTGTGTGAGTGAGTGAATGAGTGCGTGAGTGAGTGAATAAATTAGGGAGTGAATAAATCAATGACTGAATGAATCAGGGACTGAATGAATCAGGGACTGAATGAATCAGGGACTGAATGAATCAGGGACTGAATGAATCAGGGACTGAATGAATCAGGGACTGAATGAATCAGGGACTGATTGAATCAGGGACTGAATGATTCGGACTGAATGAATCAGGGACTGAATAAATTAGTGACTGAATAAATTAGTGACTGAATAAATCAGTGACTGAATGAATTAGCGAGCAAGTGATTGAGTGGGTGAGTGAATAAACTAGTGAGTGAATAAATTAGTGAGTGAATAAATCAGTGACTGAATGAATCAGGGACTGAATGAATCAGGGACTGAATAATTCGGAATGAATGAATCAGTGACTGAGTGAATGAGCGAGCGAGCAAGTGAGTGAGTGAGTGAGTGAAAAAAATAGTGAGTGAAAAAATCAGTGACTGAATGAATGAGCGAGCGAGCAAGTGAGTGAGTGAGTGAGTGAGTGCGTAAGCGTGTGCGCGTGAGTGTGTGTAACTTGAGCCATTGGTGGATAGAAAATTCGCCGGTCTGCTAGTCACCTGGCTCTTGTAAATGGCTAGAAAGTACCACTAAATAAATGGTGTTCGCCTAACAATGATGCCTAGACGAACGACTCTTGAAATTTTTGCAGGTTGAAACGCTTCCCATTCCTGGATACTCTCAATTTGGGCGGGAACCAAATAGCTATGATTCCTGCTAACGCATTCAGCAGTGCCAGCCTGCAGAGGCTTGTGCTATCGCACAACCCGATCACGTTCATTGGGCAAAACGCCTTCTTCGCAATCGTCAATCTCAAGGAGCTGCTCCTCAGCCATACCAGGCTCACCACGTTGGGTTCACACTCTATGGCTATAAGCAGCCCGTACCCGATGCTTAAGGTAAGCAAGCCGCCGTCACAGCGGTGGGATGAAGCTGCAGAGACACTAAGAAAGTTAAATTCACGAACATCTTTTTATAGCATGAAGCCACAAGGAAATTCTTATGGATTTATCAGAAGGAAATCTTCTTTAGAGCCGAAAACTGAGCCCGTCCAGGACCGAACCCGGCACCAACACATTTTTAGGGCAGTTGCTCTATTACTTGAAATAGCTAGCAATTGACAACTACACAATTACAATGCACAACTACAAGAACACGGATAGAAAATATTGAAGATTGGTTTTTCAAAATACTACGAGGCAGTGGAAAAATCAATGCTAATTCCCATTGCTTTCGGTCTCTTTCACGGATTTACGTTGAATGCCTATTTACGATGATTTACGTCGATACCTTAACCGTACCTCACCAGTCAGACCTAATACTTGTTACTGGCTTCTTTGAGACCTTGCTAGCTTTGGCGATATTTTTCAATTGCTTTCTTCCGTCCTAGTAGCCCTCTTTCACTTTGCTTCGTTAAAGTGTGCGGTACGAGGCAAGTGCTAAGTACATGTAAAATAATAGAAAACAACGTGTGTCAAAACTGCTTTCTATCATTTTTGTTTTTCTTCCAGATTCACATCTCCTCTAGTGCAATCAGCAGCATCCATCCGAACGCGTTCGGCTTAACCACTCCTCAAGTACTTAATCTTTCGCACAACAATCTCACCACGCTGGAACGGTTTCCCTTCGACGCGCTCATTCACCGCATGTTGAGGAATGCCAGCCGCTTGAGCAAGCCGCCAATACTGGGCGTCGAAGGTGACCCTTTGTCATTCTACATATGCACTGTCTGATAGGAGAATTAAATTTATTGCTTTTGTTTTTATTTATTTATTTATTTATTTATTCATTTATTTATGTTCACTGGCACAGGAACATACGGGTTGATTGGTTTCATGAGCTTTTTCTTGATATTTGACCAGAGTTGAAAGGTTCAAAACGATCATTTCATTCTGCAGTGGGTCAGGAACTGTATAATACAGGTCTCACTATAGGGGTCAGGGTGGTTCTTAACATTAAGATAAGGACAGAGGGAAAAAACTGGAACAAACATCACGTATGAAGACAATCACAGGCGACCCAAAACGTACTTTCGCCTGCCTAGCTAGTGTTACAAGGCAAGAGCTTCAGTGTTTGCTGACCCATGTCATAACACAGAATCTTGGCGACAGGCTATAGCTTGAAAAAATGTGCATTTAAGAAAGTTAGTAGTTCTAAAAAAGCAACGCTGTGTTTATTAACTGTTGGGGTGTAACATGCCAAAAACATCATATTATTCTTAGAGACACCGTGGTATAGGGCTCCGGAAATATCGACCATCTGGAGTTCTTTAATGCAACACTCTTCCGTGCACGTATACACCGCATCATATGGAAGGAATAAAACGAGATGCAAGGGCAGGTTCAAAATAAAAAAAAAATCAAAGCATATTCACGGAGTGCATGATGATGAGTGGGGCAAGGCATCTATCGGTCCGTCCGTGCTTCCGTTCGTCCGAGCGTTCATCCATCTGTCCTTCCGTACGTCCGTGCGTACGTTCGTCTGTGCGTCCGTCCGTCCATGCGTCCGTCCATTAGTGTGTTCATCCGTCCATGCGTCCATCCGTGCGTTTGTCCGTTCATTCATTCGTTTATCCGTCCATGCGTCAACGTATCTGTCTGCCTCTCCGTCCGTCCGTATGTTCATTCATCCGTCTATTTAATGAACACTCCAAGTACCGTCATCTCGCATCTTTTCATCATATATTCATCATATAGAAGTACCGCCATTCATCGGACATCCCAAGGACTAAACGAGAGGTGGCACGGCCGGACTTGAGGCATGGCAAGTGCGCATTTTCTTACGGCCAGCACTTCATGTCTAGTTTGCACCTTTCACCACTGCTAGTTCATGGCACTGCGGCCCGACCCTCGCTATGCCTTGCTAAAACCAAGGAGTAAACGCCTAGCGAGTATAACGTGGCAACCCTTCCTGATCAGATAGTGCGCAAAGTGCTTCCTTCTGATACTACTTTTTTTTTTAAGGGGAGGAGCTCCTTAAGACGTGGGTCTGTACATTCTCTTAGGTATGTAGTAGCAGTAGTAGTAGGTAGCCACCCGCATATCAGTGGCACATACCCGTCCTCGGGCACATATCCGCATGTCCACATTTTGCGAAAAACGTAGCACGGTGTCATTACCACGTTCTTGGTGTTAACAAAGCGCTGACCGCAGATATGAGGTGCTAGCTCTCGTTTAGTACTTAGATTGTCCGCTGGATGCCGGCACTTGTATATGATGAATATATGATAAAGAGAAGCGAGATGGCAGTACTTGAAGTGTTCACTATATGGACGGACGGACGGACGGACGCATGGACGGACGAACAAACAAGCAAACGGACAGACGGTCAAACACATGGACGGATGGGCGAACGGACGCACGGACGCACACACAGACGCATACACAGACGGACGCACGGACGAATTGACGAACGCTTCGCCCCTCATCATTATTCATTCCGTGAATATGCTGCGATTTTTTTTAGTAAGCATCAAATTCAAGGCAAATATTATTGGAGGTTAAGTCACCGATACTCGTCTGTGTAGGTTATTTCATCAGAAGCAACTATCTCTTTATTAATGATTAACGTGCACGGGTTTCCTCCTCAATTCAAATGAGTGCGTGCGTGCCGCTTCTCTAGTCCAGCCGTCAAGGTGGCTGCTACTACTACATACATCGCAGACGCACGAACCACGCCTTAAGGAGCTTCGCCCCTAAAATCTGTGTATACCAAGCCTAGAGGGTATGTGCGAAGCAGCTGCTACGATGAGATAGCCACGCGTTGTATGCTATAGTCGGCTATAACATACTATTATAAGGTAGTTTTAAAGGGAAGTGAGTCTGCAGAAGAGTGATGCAAGCGTAAAGAGCAGAGCATTGAAGATAGTGGGAAAAGGAGACATCAGGGTGAGACATAGCATAGAGATGTAAAGTATAGTGTATATATGAACATTTTAGGCGTATCTGAGGTGTAATAATGATGGTAACTGACCTTGTGTATGGAACTTGTGCACATATGATGTTCTTAGTTGTATTTTGACCGTGTTGAGATGTTTGGCTCTACCGCCAATTCGCACTGTAAGTTCTGCTGTCTTGCATTTTGTGAACTTATTGATTATCTTACGACATGTTTTTTTTTCTTCTAAGTGAGAAGAAGTAGCCACCACAATGGCACCAACCTCACCTGTTTCATCATTTCAGTAAATAAAGTGTAGAAAGCGGAGGGAAATGGAATTGAGGTTGAGGAGGAATGACGCGGGGTGAGGAGGAGGGACTCGAGGACGGCGGGACTCGAAAACGCAATTCTGAATACTAGATTACGTGCATTGGTCGGCAAAAGCCAGTGGAGCCCTTGACCTAAGGCGCTGACCAGTTAGCTGCTAAGTTTCTTATCTCTAGGAATGTACTGAAGTCGTGCGCTGGATTTTTTGCGGGATCTTGAAGTAAGTAGTATACCGAGAACCACCTGGAGTGTGCACCTTCTCTTAAACAAATTCGTCAACACAACCAGCAGTGACAAAACCATGCACTTTGAAAAATGAAATCGGAGCTTTGATTCATGGCAAGTGCGTATTTGCACTAAGCTGGTTTGAAGGTTCACACGTGATCAATCAGGAAGATTCAACATTATTCGTGATTACATACTGTAACTTCATATTGAAGCACGGAGCCTGTGTTTTCTCACACTTTTCACCCAAAAATCTCTAGTAAGATAAAACTTCAGCCGCTTCTGATACTGAATGTAACCGTGATCAGAGCAATCGTGCAGTAGCAATTGTTTTTTTTTACAAAACAGCTATTCAGGCAGCGATGCACTATCTTTGTGACATGGCGCCCTCGTTGGAAGACGTGAATTTTGGCATTCCTGTTTACAATTGGCAAGGGAGAGACCGCGAACACCCAGCTAATTATATATTGAACATTTTTGTTGATAAAAGGTTGTTAATATTACTTCCACGACAACATCTTGCTACAGATGATCACTTTTGGTAAGGCATTACAATGATTACCAAGACCTTGAAGCTTTTAGTATGAATTATGAATTTTTCAGCATGTTTATGATTGCTTGCCGCCAGCAGATGACCCTGACATGTAGTTTCGATGCATTGTTCAAATCGTTTTCCCAATACGTTTAACCTGACTTACTGTATCACATTTAGATAATGATTGGTATTGTAATAACAATCATTCGTTATAAAATGCACCATGCACTTTTTTTCTGTACCCTTTATTTTCTTTAAACAGAGTCTAGAGATGGTTCAAGTAAAAATAGGCAAACTTCTCGCATTTATACAAAATCCATCAAATTACTTGTTGCAAAGAGCTATAGAGATTTCTTTCAATCATAACCAAACACCAAAGGGTTTACAGCCAAATGTGGTTATATTATGCTCAGCTAAATCAAATTATTATTTATATGGAACCATTTCCGAACGCAACAATGTTTCGTTGTCAATCCACTGGGATATTTGCTGCTACATTAAAGAAAAATTGTTTGGACGCTTCACATATAAAAAATCAGACAGTATCAAACATCTGACTGTTCTCATTGAAGGGTACTTTCACGCATGCATTTAGGAAAGAAAGAGATGTGATGAGAGGGGCCGTTTTGGTGCTCCATTTTCTCGCCTACAACTAGCCCCTGCTTAACCTCCCCCCCCCCCCCCTGACCTTGTGAAAGGCAAGCCATGTAGAAATAAAAATGCCCGTGCTGCCTGGAGAATACTTCTTTGCATATTTTCGGAGCAATTTAGTGAAGCCAACATGCGCCCAGAAATCAGCCTCAGAAATACAATACATTTCTTAGAACTTTAGTATCGAAATATACGTAAATCAAGCTGTTTCCGTTTTTTGGAGGACTTCATATATGCAGCTTCGACTATATATCGCTTTCCGCTCTCTCTTAACGTTCTTCGCTATTTTCTTCAACATTGCAGGAAATCCCTTTACCTGCCGAGGCTGCTCCTACGAATGGCTGATATGGCACAGACTGAGCTGGCAGATACAGAGGCTCGTTTACGGTTTCCGATGTCCGGACGGCTCGGGTTTGCCCACCCTTAATTTTCGGCAAATCGCTTGCCAGTGGACTTCGAGGAACTTCGCAAACCTTGGCTAGCGTAATAAAGGTCGTACAATCGCGTCGTGTGCAAGCTTGTAACGAGAAAGGCCTGTCGAGAACAATGCCATAAGAATAACAAACTAAGAAATAAAAAAATTCACCAGCCCTCAACTTATGCAGAAGATGGGAACTAGAGCAAGTCTACATTTGTGTGTCACACGTACATTTTTTTTTCGACGAAGAATCGGAGTGGCCTCGCTGCGGTGGTCTAGTGGCTAAGGTACTCGGCTGCTGACCCGCTGGGCGCGGGTTCGAATCCCGGCTGCAGCGGCTGCATTTTCGGTGGAGGCGGAAATGTTGTAGGCCCGTGTGCTCAGATTTGGGTGCACGTTAAAGAACCCCAGGTGGTCTAAATTTCCGGAGCCCTCCACTACGGCGTCTCTCATAATCATATAGTGGTTTTGGGACGTTAAACCCCACATATCAATCAAGAATCGCAGTGACCAATGCAACAATATATAAACGACTTTTTGGAAAAGCCTTTTTTCACGGTGGAGAATGAGCAGCAGGTTCGCGTACTTATACGGTGATCTAATCACATATTTGAAGCTACGCACATGCACTGGCAGAACATCACCACATTACTTGTTTAACGTGTGCGCAGTGGTTCAATAAAAAAAAAAGATTACAGATGACGCCATAGAAAGAATTCCTTTGCCGCGAGATTTTTGGAAGCATCTTCCCAGTTTATGGCATGGCCTCTTGATACCACATGTTGGCGACCCCCGCTCTAACTTCTTGACGTTTGTGAGGCTGTTTCCAAGTTTCCGCGCAGCTACATGTGAAATCTGTACGTCGTGGAAACGCAAAGTTCCGGCAAAACTGCTTCCATGACCTGCATCTAGAACCTTCGCTTATTCAAAGGACAGCGCACTTGCTAAACAATAGCTGTGTCAGTCTTCTGCCAGTGTATGCGAGTTGCCTCAAACATGCGATCGGACGACCTTATAAGTGAGCGAACTTGCTGGTCATGCTCTATTGGGAACAATGATTCCGTGCGGGAGCCGAAAAGCCTTTATATATTTTATTGCGATAGCAATTATATGAACACTCTCAGCTAAATCTTGCCACCGGCGTTGACGTCTGCGTCGCTCACCATGTATGTATACGTATTTATATACGTAAAAATGCAAGAAAAAAACCCCGAAAAGCCACTTCGACGCGCGGTATCGAACGTGGGACATCTGCGTTGTGAAAACGAGACGTTACCACTAAGCCACCCCAAAGCACGTCCTCCTTTGCTTCAACGGCAAGCTGTTTATATCTACCACTTACCATTGCTCACGAGAACCTTGGGGGAAAATTGTGTTTCGAGCATTACTAGCATGATGGCGTTTACCTTGGTCGGCGCTGTTTTGTCTTTGTCAACAGTCATTCACTGGCCACGTAGTATTCTGCCAAAATCTTGACTTCATATTTTTCGCCCTTTCTATCTATCCTACTTACCTTCCTTTTTTTTATTTCTTTTTTCCGTTCATCTTATGCGATACGGCCTAGTAGCTGTCTTTCCCTCCGTGCCGGGAATCACACCTTCAACCACGTGCTTAGCAGCGCAACACTTTAGTGGACGCAAGCAGCGAACGACAGCTAAGCATTCATACCCGGGCAACATTAGGATGAACAGCATGAAAAGGCAAGCAACCTCGGTAAAAGGCCACTTTGACTTATAAGGAACAGCCGATATTCGGCAAGGTCACAATTTGTAGGCATCGCTTGTTGATAAATGTCGTGTACAAATAAAAATGTGACCAGCGCACCTTTGGGGGTCCCATTTTAGTACGGTCATCGGATGCGAATCTTTCGCGTACGCAGCCGTCGCTGAAAACTTTGAGTTTGAGATGAGGTCCTGGCATAGAAAAAGTGGTTATAGATATGTTTAACAACCATGTAGTTGAGACAACTGCTGCTTCGTTGCTTCCCTTGTTTCCCCTAGCACGCCGTGCTCGCTGTAGATGGGTGTCTTGGAGCACGTTAACGGCTTCTTTACTGCCTGGACAACTCCGGGACTTTATGTGGCGCCTGGGATGGGGTATGCTTCCCACTCTCGACAGCCTAGAAAGGTTTAGAATGGTTCAGTCAGCCACATGCCCGAACTGCTCTCTTCAGGGAAAAAAAAAAACAGCATTTTCTGAGGCATTGTGTCATTGCTCGCGTTATTTGGAGAGCCGTACATGCTGGATTTCGCTGCCTAAGAGTAAATCGCTTCGTTTCTTTTAGGCGTCGTGCGCGAGGGCGCTTCGCTTGTCTTCTGATTGTTGCTGGTTCTTTCTGCCTCTAGCGCAACCGCAGCGAGGCGGTTCCAGCGGTCCGCCGCCACCGCTGCGCGCTCTTCCCGATCCCAGAGCGATTGTACTCGGAGCTTCTGTCTGTTTTGTCGGAGGAGTTCTTCTTCCTCTGTGAAGAGGAATTCCTTCGGCACTGGTCTTGCGCTTTTGTGTTGGTCTATGACGAATTGAGCGAAACTTGTCTTTCAGCCGGTCTGGTATTGGTAATTTGAGTGATATCTGGGGTTTAACGTCCCAAAACCACTATATGATTATGAGAGACGCCGTAGTGGAGGGCTCCGGAAATTTAGACCACCTGGGGTTCTTTAACGTGCACCCAAATCTGAGCACACGGGCCTACAACATTTCCGCCTCCATCGGAAATGCAGCCGCCGCAGCCGGGATTTGAACCCGCGCCCTGCGGGTCACCAGCCGAGTACCTTAGCCACTAGACCACCGCGGCGGGGCGGTCTGGTATTGGTAGGCTGATGTGCCGATGCGATGGCAGAAATGACATGCCAATATGTATACATGCGAAATGTAAATATTCATGCCTTATTTGTGCCTCTTGTTTACCTTGCAATATTCATATATGTACCTACATGTCCTTTTCTGAAACATTTTTGTGTGGCTGTGTTTCTGCGAACCATCGAATGTACATGTTCTATGCATGTCATTTCATATTCATGTTCATGCAATTGAAGTGTCTTTTGTCATCATCGTTATGTATGTCTGAGAAGAAAATGTTCAGGTGAAATGGTATTGACGTCTGTGACAAATTTCTCTAAACAGGTCAAGCAGCAGAATAGTTGGCCGCGTCATGGCACAGGCTAGCTCTGTCCCAAGGTATGGAAATTTGTTCTAAACACACTGATTTTCACACGGCCTTATAAAATGCAAGGGCCACGGGACGGCTTCTTGCTCTCTCATGAGTTCCAAGCACTCGAAATCATCAACACATTTTTCTAAACACACTGTCCAACAGACGGTCTTCCGTATCGACGGGTACTCCTGCCATCTCGTTGGGCTTGCTAGGGAAACGCTCCATAGTTTGTCATGTTGCTTTATAGGCACAATTTTAGAGGCGAAGCGCCTTAAGCCGTGGTTCGTGTGTCCTCAATGTATATAATAATATAAGGTAGCCACCTCTCGTTTAGTCCTTGGAATTTTCCATATGCTCCGATTTTTCTTTTTGTCGATGCGGCCTCATGAAGTGTGAGGCCCACGGGTTGGCTTTCAGCTCTCTCATAGCGGAGTACCAAGCACTCTAAATTGTTAACCACTTTTTCCTAACACACAGTGAACTTATTGAAAACACAGTGCGCATATTCACAGTCACGATTCCCTCTAGAAAGAACTTTTTAGTGGGCTGCATATTTAACCGTACTGAATAACACCAATCCACCTAAAGGACTGATAGATTCTCATTACAAGAAGAAATTCCCTCGCGGGACGATGCATCAAGTGCTTCAAAAGAGCACAAACAGACGTTTAAGAAGTCTAAAGCATCGCATCTTGCGTCGCATTATAATAAGTGGGGCTGCTTTGCTGTGTTTCTAGACATCGAAACCTTGTCCAGCCTTAAGTGCACAATGACCCGTGAAAGGGTCGAAACTTTTCGCATGTGAAATGTCGGAGACGGGTGCACCACTCAAGTATCGATACCGTTAACTGTGAGTTAACATGTCTGCTTTGTTAAGTTACCTGCATCGAGAACGCTTCATCATTCAAGGCTACACCAACCGATTACGTCTTCAGCCTATCGTAGCTTAGTTTGCTTCAATATCTATTTTCATTATTATGTCGCATTTTGTTTTTGTACACCCCCCTTCCTGTATTGCCTTCATGTGCTCTGATGGTAAAATAAATATTATGTAAGGGCTACAGCTGCCCATTTTTTTATGCCGAACACGCGAGCATGAACCGCCAATTGATAGGTGCCATATAGGGAAGCACGGCGATAAAATGAACAAGAACACACACATGTGCCTGATGAACCGTGATGTGCAACCACCTTCTGCAAGGCTGTTCAGGGAACCAGACACCTGGAATCGGCCCTTATTGACTCTTAAACAGCTGAAGCACGAAAAGGTAATAACGGACAAAGAAAACAACGAGGACAAGCGCTATAATGAAATAAGCACACTTTGCTTAATGACTCATTGGTCTACTTGTGAATTCGGGTAAAAAAAAAAAATGGGCGGCAGTTCCAAATGATGTTCTTCCTTCTGCGCATGTGTGCTGTGTTGGGCTTTATTTTTCTTTGTATTTTTCAGAATCAACACTGCAAAGGCGGCATCAGCGCTAGTACTATGCTTTCTCTTTCTTTCTGTTTTAGCGACACATCGAACAAAATAAACTTTTTCATTACTATACTTTAATAATAAAAATCAATCTTCCGAGAAAGAATGAAGTATAAACTAGACACGACACTACGTTTTCAATTTAACCCAGACAACAGCACCGATATGTGCAAGCGAAGGCGCAAACTTTGAATCACTGTCTGCTAGATATCATTATTGAGACAAAAAAAAAAAAAACGAGGCCTCAGACTTACCTTTCTTTCTTTCACGACGAATGAAAGCGACGCACCGTGAAGCAGACCACCAGTGTCCGACTGTTTGCAAGGTAGGCTGCCGTCGAGTAGAAACGAGCTGCCTTGTATACTCGCACTGGCCCCGCCGCGGTGGTCTAGTGGCTAAGGTACTCGGCTGCTGACCCGCAGGGCGCGGGTTCGAATCCCGGCTGCGGCGGCTGCATTTCCGATGGAGGCGGAAATGTTGTAGGCCCGTGTGCTCAGATTTGGGTGCACATTAAAGAAGCCCAGGTGGTCTAAATTTCTGGAGTCCTCCACTACGGCGTCTCTCATAATTATATA